CCAGTTCTACACCTTTCCCATTTCCCTAAACGTGTGTTGCATTTTCTATTCTCCTTTTTTCAAGGAGTTTCTCATTCACATGGAGCAGAACGAAGGTTGATCAGGCTTGGTATGTTATAATTAGTAATAGTTCTGTGGCATCTTAGTCACAGAACTAAAAAAGGAACTATTGAATTTATAAGAGCAGTTGCTGTAAAAGTGTCACATTATAACAAAATTAATTTTGGTTTAAAAATAATGCCCTGCTTTTCCGATCAGCTGATTATTATTAGAGCCAAAGAATGCTGGTTCTTAGGATTAAAAGATCATTTACACAGGACTTTGTGCAAGAGCCTGGAAACAGAATAATCCCACATTGATCCTCTTCAGTGGAATGCACCGCACACATCCTAGTCGCGCTCTCTCAAGTATTACTCACAATTACACACCGACGGAGCTCCCCTCTTCTGGGGTTCAAGCTGAATTACAAGTTAACTAAAGATCACAACCCATGAGCATAAATTAAGGCCACCGCACAACTCAGACATCCGTCTTCTCTTTCTTTATTCTCCCCTTTAAACCAAACCTAATCAACCTGAAACCTGGGCGAGCACTAGAAATGCAAGTTGTCCCTTGGTTCACAAGACGCGAGATATATGTTCCTTTCATTCAAATTGTAAATCCGGGGCCTTTAACTTTGGTAGGTTCCCCGAAAAATTCCTGGGCCTGCACTGTTCGAGGCTGGTGCAGCCTTAGAGACGCCGCAGCCGGGGGGTCACCGAACACCCAGCGACTTGTGCAGAGCATCAGTTAGGGCAGGAGACCTGGTAGCTTTTCTTGAAGTTTTGATATTGACTGTTACAGCCCAGCATTAGGACTTCTAATTAGGCCCTCGGTCATGGGGATGAGTCAGGAGGACCAGGGGATGTGTTATCTACTTAAATAGAGAAACCCTTGGAAACAATAGAAGTCCAGGAGTAAAAATTGTAGAGCTTTGGCATTTCACAACACACACACACACACACACACACTCCAATGTAAATCTGGGCTTACTAAATTTGGCCCGTAACTTAACACATTCAATAAATCCAGAGTAATTTAAACTTGCTTGGGTAAGAGAGATGGATTTTGCTTTGCGGGAAGAGGCATTGAAAGATAAAAGTTTGCTAATACGTAGATCGTCACTGCAGCATCCTCTGTAAGCAGACGTGTATCCCGTTAGCATGGTTTGTCCAGCCCATCCTTCTAGCCTCCAAAGGTAGCAACAGCGTCCCTTTGGCTTCCTAAGCCAAAAGGCAGGACTTGCTTTTTATTTCTGCCCGTCTCTGCATCCCAGGCTCCAAGTACTGTTGATTTCAAAGGTAGGAAATGACCCTTCAATTGCTGTTGAGAAGAACAGAGCTATTCCATGTACCAGACCTCTGGTGGGGCCTGGCCCTGCGCCAGCCTCCTCACCCGCCGCCCCAGAAGCTTAGGGTCTCCCATTAGACCCAGGGACCTGAATTCCGCAGTGATGTGTCATGATACAGATCTTTTCTCATTCATTTTTCAGGGCACTCTGTGGACCTTTTACGCGGGTGTTACATATCCTTTAGTTCTGGAAAGTATCTTGCATTATTGCGAAATAATTTTCTCCCCACCTTGTCCTTTCTCTTATTGTTCTGGTCCTTCTGTTAGATGGGTGTTAGACTTTTTGGACTGGACTTTAATTTTCGTATGTTTGCTTTCCTGTAACTTCCTGGGAGAGTTATTCAGTATACCTGTCAAGTCTTACTGATTAAGTTTATTGATTTTTAAATTTTAGAAGTTTCTTCTTCTTCTCTGACGATACCGTTGGTTGGTGTGCCTCGCCGTAGAGTAATTGGGTAGCTTGCCGCTGCCTGTGTTTTCTCCAGAGAAAGAGCCGCCTCTGTCTTCGTGGGATGCTAAGGATGCTGAAGCTGGATTTGGTGAAGAAGAGAGTCCCGGGTCTTGTTTACCAGGGAGAATTGTATTAACTTCTGCTTTCAGCTGAGCGCTCCTCTGTGCCTCGTGGCGGGAGGGGAGTACCCCGGGCCATGAGGCTCCTGGCCCAAGAGGTGGCGGCTGCTGCCTGGATGGGCCAGCTCCCCACAGAGCCCGGGGCAGACCTCTCTTCTTTCACTTTCTCCCCTGCGGGGCCCAGTGCTTCCTGTCCCAGCAGATGTCCAAGGTGTGGCCTTGCTGCTCCGTGCCTTCCCCTCTGCCTCCCTTGGCTTCGCCTCCCTCTGCTCTGCCAGGCCAGCCCCTTTCTTCCATTTGCCTTCCATGTGTATGGGCTGGGTTTTTGAGTTTCCAGGGCCTCCAAAGTTTGACAGTCACGTTTGTGTCTGTTTATGGCTCCCTTTGCTCTCTTGTGGTGATTTTGAGAAGGGCTGAAAAGCTGTACCATCTTGAAGGAGGTCTACCTTTTAGGGAGCAGAGCCTTGCCCTGGTGGACGTCTCAAATGTTGGAACGGCTTTGATGCCGACCCGGGAGTGTCCAGGGAGCGGCACTGGCTTTGGGTGCTAACTGCATTGTCAGAGCGGTAAATGGGGACTTTCTGCCACAATGCTCACGTTTGACGCTTTCCCAGTTATCCCATGTCCCCACCCAACTGGACCCGTTCGCTTCACAGGCCGACTCCGGTTAACAGTGCCGACTGCACTGTGCAAGAGTGGGAAACTTGAGGGGCCTGACTTAAATCCCACTTTCAGTCGAAAGGGTCTGACGTCCTGGCTGGCCGTTTGGGCACGTGGGAGAGCATGCGAGGTAGGGCATGACCTTCGGGGGCTGTAACACCAGTTTGAGAGAGCGACTGTGGTGGCTGAAAACCCCACGCGACTTTGACAGCAGGGACTCAGGTTTTCCCTTGATTGTGACAGCTTCCACTAACTTTGTTTTTCACTTTGTTCAGACTCCATAGAAAATGTGACATGAGACTCTGCTTCCTGCTGACGTGACCACAGTTTAAAATACCTAGTTCAGATTATGTATGAGGCGATTTTTAACTATTAAATTTTTTTTTTTATTCTCATCCAAGCACTGCTTATTTCATTGCTTTTAGAGAGAGTGAGGGCAGAGACATCAGCGTGAGAGAGAAACACTAATCAGTTGCCTTCTCATATGCGCCCCATCTGGGGATTGAACCCGCAACCCGGGTATGTGCACTGATGGGATTCGAACCTACAACCCTTCAGTCCACAGGATGACAGTCCGGCCAACTGACCCATGCTGACCAGAGCTAAACTATTAAAATTTTTCATTGCCCATGTTCGTTGTGTATGATTCCATGTATACTGATGGGTTAAAGATAAATCCAGGTCTGTCCAAGAAGTTTGCAGACACAGTGTCCTCGAGACAGCCAGCGGCGATAGCTGTCCCTGAGCCAGAGCCGCACGTGATCCTGAATCCTACTGGGCCGTAAGTAGACCAGGTCACCGTAAGCCAGGGAGAGCCTGCTGCACACGTTGCTGGTTTGTGTCCCAGAGGCACGATGAGAGATCACTGAAACCCACCCCCGCCTCTGCCCGCGGCCCGTGTCTCCCCGCAGGGCACCCGCACTGGCGACAAACGGCTTCCTGCCGGCCTTGGCGCTGCTCAGCAGAGCCCGCAGGTCTTGGCAAGAAGGGGGGTCTGAGCTGAGTCTTGGGCCAGACCTGGAGATGCAGTTGCCAGGAGGGGTGCACGGGGATCCAGACATTTGGGGGAAGACAAGATGTGCGGGGACTGTGGGTGGCCAGACCACTGAATTGTCTAGTAGCCGTGTTAAAAATATTGTATTTAAAAGCAGGTGAAATTATTTTTAATCGTATATTCTGCTAATGTCTCAAATATTTCAACATCCAATAAATATTAAAAATTATTAGTGAGAGAGTTCATATTATTTTTTTGTTAGGTCTTTGAAATCCAGGGTGTATTTTATACTTACCATCAATTTAGATGGGGAATCTTCAAAATACTTGCGATGTTTAGATTTCACAAACTTGCAGCTGTACAAGCAGGTCCACGTACCCACGGTATTTCAACCCTACGTAAAAAGGAAGGCGTCGCGTGTCGGATCTCAAAGGGGGCCTGTGATCCAGGCGCTGCGCCCCTCCGTCGCTCCGCCCCACCTCAGGGCCCTGCTGCCTCGCGTCCCCGCCGCTGCCCTGTGGGCCACGCAGCTCCCGAGGGAGCGCGGGGCGCGGGGACGTTTCCAGGAAGAGGAATCTTGGGGGGCACTTGTAGAAAGGAGGGCGACAGACAGAGAAACCGGCTGCAGTCTGCCAGCCTCAGCCGCACAGGACCTCGGCCATGGCCCGGCCTCCTGTGCGGCCGCCTGTAATGGAGGCTCCGTGCAGAGTGCGGCTCCAGGGCAGTGGAGTTTTGTCACGTGTTGACACGGTCACCACAAACAAGATGACCGGCATTTCCATCCTCCCTAGAAGTGACGCACCTAAGTTCGGAGCGTGTTATTTCCAGGGTCTTTGGGCAGGAACCTGGTGACAGGAGAGCGGTCTGGCTCTGCCAGGTCACTCTGAGCAAGGCGCTCCGCGTCCCTGGGCTCCTGTGCCTGGTCGCTGCGACTGCGCCGTCCTCCCCCTCCCCAGAAGGGTGCTCGCGTTGGCTCACAACCTCTCGGGCCCTGGAGGCCCCTGTGGTGCCAGGCGTTAACCCTTTTAGTTCCTTGGGGGGGGCAGGAGCCCCGTCCCCCTGAGTTTTTTCACTCTTCGATTCACTCCCCACCCCCGTATGTCACGCTTCGGTTTCGGGTCACCTCACAGCCATGTCTTCAGCATGGGTGAAACGCAGCAGCGAGGCTGAGGGCAGAGAGCCCTTGTAAGTCCCAGACTCAGTGATTGGAGGCAGGAGAGGGCCTGGATGGTCAGGACACACGGGCTGTGACAGCTGAGCTGCCCACCCCCCACGGAGGGAACGGCCCTCCCTGGGGCCTGTGAGCCCTGACAAGCACGCGTGGCCACCCGGAAGCCGCGCCCCTGGCTACGAGCCTCCGTCTCACCGCCTCTCCTTGCCTCCCCAGAGGGTGTTCAGAGCTCTGCCGGATTCCCATGGTGGAGTACAAGCTGGACAGCGAGGGCACGCCCTGCGAGTACAAAACCCCCTTCCGGAGGAACACCACGTGGCACCGGGTGCCCACGCCAGCCCTGCAGCCCCTGCCCAGAGCCTCCCCCGCGCCCGGCACGCCTGACCGGCTGCAGTGCCAGCAGCTGCTGCAGCAGGCCCAGGCCGCCATCCCGCGCAGCACCTCCTTCGACCGCAAGCTGCCCGACGGCACCAGGTACAGCCGGCACTGCCACTTCAGACGGCGGGGGGCCGGGGGCAGGGTGGCTTTTCCTTGGGCTTCGTGGGTTCTGAGTCAGCTTGTTCTGAACAAGTTGGCGGGCGGGGCGGGGCAGGCCCCAGACGCAGGGGTGCTTGGAACTGGCCCGCTCCTGGCCCTGTGATGTCGAGTCACCATTTTGTACACCTGCAACTCACAGAATATTGTATGTCAACTATAACTGAAAAATAAATTTTCAAGAAAGCGAAGGTCGTAACCACAGGTTTCACCCACCATCCATAATCCTCCTGGTCAGCTCATTCTCTAAACCGCCTTGGGAAAGACCCCAAGGAACTGTTGTGCACGGCCCTCTAGATACCTGTTAATAGTTCTGAGTAAAAATAAAACTGCCAAATCGGTGATTATATCCCACCATCCTAAATGTGGGCAGTATTTTAAGAGATCCTAGATCATTAGCATTTCATGACTTTTCTCTCATTTTAAGCAAAGTGAGTCGCGTTGAAAATTAATTTTTTCGACGTCAGAATGCAGTTGCTTTAGAGGTAAAGCCAACAGCACTAGGCTCTGGCGAGCACTTTTGGAGGCATAATTTGCATAGGTGGTTCTAAGTGAAGCAAAACAGTAAGTTTGCTTTGGTGGCGTTAATTCCCACTCCTTTTGTCTCAGCTGTCACGTAACCTGTGGCCGTGGAGACACCAGAGTGTCCCCGAAGCAGCTCGTCGGGCTCTGCTCCAGCGGAGACCCGTCGGCGCGGATGCGGGGCCTGCACTGTGACGGTGGCGGTTACTGGGCTGCTGCTCGCGCTCGCCCGCCTCCGGTGCGCCCTTCTGAGGCGCGGGCTCAGCAATAACGGAGGCCTCTCCCGCGCTTTGCGAGGCTCGAATCCATGAACGTGTGTAGCCGCTTCAAAGTGGTCCTGGCCTACCGTAAGCCTGTGCGAGTTTCCAGAATCATTAGGTGATGGATAAAACCGTGCCGTCTTCCTCGGCTTCCTCCCATTATTCTTGCCAGAATGAATGCAGGGAAAGTGTTACTTGAACCTGACATTAAATCGTCTTGGCTCTGGGCCCCTTACTCAAGCGCCTGTTGAGTTTGTAAACTCGCCACCTGCCGAGAAATGCACACAGGTGGCCCGGATGAAAGGGGTGACAATTGGCAGGGAAGGGTTTGCGGGACCTCCCTTAACAAAGTGGAAGTTAGTACATTAACAGGGAAAAACCAGGAGGGTTCTTACAGCGAATGACAAGCTCGTCTTCACCAAGTGAGTTCTCTTGGGTATTAGTCACTTGTGTGAGTCTGAAATCAACAGGAATAAACGATATTGCATTCCATAGACGTGTGAACGTAAATGTTTTTGCCAAATTTAGGGTTTTCTCTCTGCATAGGTTTTAAATACAGAATCAAATGTGTGTTGCCTTAGGTTTTGTACAGCAGGCAGTTGTGGTGTTTTCATAATTGTGTGTTCCTGGGGGTCGCATGGCTGCTTTTCCCCGTTTTGCTGAGTCTCGGGCTGCACGGTGACCCTTCAGAGGTGAAGGCTCGCTCCTGCCGCGTCTTCCCTGTGACCAAGTGCCAGCCATAAGCCACCCGAGTCTCACGGCAGCACCAGCTCTCCGTTCATGTGTCCACGATGTCGTCCATTCCCCTGTGCAATGTGCATTTCTTCTTTGTGAAAAGGAATTTGTGTGTGAAAGGAGCCAGGTCAGGGCGCTGGCGCTGCGCAGGGAGCTCAGTGCCCGCTTACGATTCTAGTCCCCGTTTCAGAAGCTCGCCCAGCAACCAGTCATCCTCCAGCGACCCCGGACCCGGCGGGAGCGGGCCCTGGAGACCACCGCCGGGCTACGACGGGTACGCTCGCCCCCACCCCCTGCTGGGCCTGGGAGGGACCGTGGCAGGGGCTGCGCTGGCTGCGTGAGGCCGTTGCGGGATACAGAGATGTCAGGTGGGCTTCTGATGAGTCTGTCCAGGCCAGAGAGCTCATTGTTTCTATCTAGGGAGCTAGCGCTCATTCGTCTGCGTTCTGAGCTTGTATCCTTTTTTTCTGGATGAGGAAAGTCTTTGAGTATGTAAAAATTAAGGGCTTGGGGACTCTCTGGGCAGTGCCCTTGGGAGAGTCCCCTCACTTAAATTGCTGATGAATAAATGCACAGCCTCTCTCAAAAGTGCTTTCTCTCTGAAACAGAGCCGAGCCCGAGAAGGCCGGTTTAGCCTTCGACACCTCTGTCCCTGCCTCCTGGTAGAGAAGCGCGGGGGGCTGCCTCCCACATGGGCTGAGAACCAGCCCTGTTCGCCTGGTATCCGGGTGCCAGCAGGTCAGATGGAGCCGGAGGACGCCTGGGAACAGGGAGACGCTGAGCTGACTGACGCCCTAAGTTGGGGAACAGCCACACCCCTGAGGGAGAAAAAGGCGGAGGCGAGGCCGTGTGCTCCCCGGGCGATGGCGAGCGCTCCTCCCGCGGTGCCTCCGTGCTGCTTGGCGGCCCAGCCTTGCCCCTGCTGTGGAAGGAGCCGGGGCGCGGGTTTAGAGGAGAGAATGGCTGGGTCAGGTGGGGAAGGGTTCTGTTACCAGAGGGAAGGGTCTCCCTGGAGCCCTCTTTCCTACCAGTTTGGGCTCAGAAGTAGATATTTTCAGTCTGAGTTGCGTGCCTCCTTCCTTAAATAACAGAGGGAGTTCTTAAAAGTTGAACAGAAAGACATTTTTCTCAATGGAGGTGCCTATTAAAAGCAGAGGGGAGTTTTTGTATCAATGGAGAAACTATCCCTGGCTTTTCTGGCAAACCGGGATGTGTAGCTGGGATCGTCCAAGGGAGGATCACTTCATAATCAAGTTTCCTGAGACTTGTTTCCTTTGTAAATTTATATTGCCGTATTTTGGGTTTTCATAAAATAAAGTCCCCCCAGAGGTAGTCGAGAGCCAGTCTTATTTTCCTTTCTTACAAAATGTAACATAAAGAAGTATCAGTGGCATGTATTCTGGGCACCAGAAAAACAAAAGCAGTAATCTTTCTAGCTTGTTGGGGACAGGTGCCCTGACCCTGGACAGCCCTTTCACCTGCTGGTGTCGGTGGCCCTTCTTCATCTGTAAACAACTGTCATCCGAGTGCCTCCACCGACCCCGCGGGGAAACCGGGGCCCCGGGTGCACACGCTTGAAGCTCCCATGGCGGGGTCGGGTCGCAGGCCCTGCACGCGTGCCACAGGTCGCTTCTCGGGGGGTCTCCCTTGGGGTGCACGTGTAGGAGCCCACGCACAGGGTTGCGCCGGCGGGCTGGCGGTGGTGGCCGGGGTCAGCTCCGTGTTCTTTCCAGGTGCCAGTCCCCGCTGCTGCTCGAGCACCAGGGCCCAGGCCCGCTGGAGTGTGAAGGGGCCAGGGAGCGGGAGGACGCCGCCGACGGGAGCCGACACCCGGGTAACGCGGGGCCGCGGCCAGCCCCACCTCCCTGCACCCGCCCCGCTCCCATCCTGCCACCTGTGCGCTCGGCGCACGTTCGGGGGGTGTCATTGTGCCACGTGTCAGCTGGTCCCCTGAAGCATCGGGGACCGGGGCACGCTGGCAGTGGTCCTGTGAAAACAGACCATTACAACCTTTATGGTGGGTGTCCCGCCCACTCCTATGACAGACCCACCAGGAAGACGAGCGAGTCCTACAACCATGATCCTATTTACTTTTACCAAACTATTTCAGCTCCCGTGTTTCTTTGCTCTTTTGTTCACACTAGAAATTAGATACTCAGCTCTTCTCTCTTTGTGTGACAGAAACCAAATGGCATGGCCCACCCTCCAAAGTCCTGAGTTCCTACAAGGAGAGAGGTCTGCAGAAGGATGGGACTTGCAAAGACTCCCCCAATAAGCTTTCTCACGTAAGTCGTGTCTTCTGAGCGAGGGGCCGCGCAGCCACCCCGATGCCTTGTTAGCTGCATTGCCGGGGCGCTCCACGGCATGCCCTCGACCTGGCGGGTCGCTTAGAGCGGAGGCGAACAAGTAAACAAATAGAGAGGCAAGAACCTTTCTCTCCTTGATTTATGAAGAACCTCAAAGAAAGGTCACATAGTAAATTACTGCAAAGCCACAAGGGCGTCCTCAGGCTTTTGACCCTGACCCCAGCGTGGATAGTTGCTAACTCGCATTCCTGTTGCACTCTGTTCAGTGTCTGGTCGGAGACACTCTGCCCATAGCTGGCCAGTTAATGAGCGCACACAGTTACCGACGAGTCACGACAACAGCACCGCTGACTCGCGGGTGGTGGCGTGTGTGCTCCTCGCCGCGGCCCTGGGGGCGCGTCGTGCGGGTGGCCAGCTCGGGGAGACAAAAGTTGCGCTTAGACGTGAGAACATGGACTGTTAGCTGTTGCCAAGTAAGGCCAACATTTTAAAGTAGCTTATTTTTAAAAATTTGCAAGTGAAGAAATTTTACCGGCTTCTAGGTTGTGTCCTGCCTCTTGGTGCGCACACGTCATAGCCCCGCCCCCGGCCCCCGGCCCCCGTGGTGCCTGGCCCTGTCTGAGTCAGCTTTACAGCATCTGTTTAGTTCCATCTGTACAACCCTCTTAGCAGGAGCAGACTTGAGAGCATCAGTGTACGGGAAAGGCCGGGGATCTGCTGAAGGATCGGACAGCTCCGAGGGAAAGAGGGGTCAGAGCCTGTCTTGATTCCACAGCCTTTGCTGATGCTCCAGGTCTTGTCCCTGTCCCCAGGCGGTGCAGAGGGCCTGTGCGAGCACCTCAGTCAGGTGGGGACACTCACTCTGTCCTCTGTGGATTTTTTCTTCCAGGGACCCCAAAGCACTTTGGTTTCCTCTACAGAGCCCGCCTCCAGAGCGCTGGGCCTCGGGCGCGGGCTCGAGCCCCACGGGGATGGTTTCAGTGGGTCCACAGTCAATCACGTGAGCTCTGCATCCCAGCAGAGAGGGGCACGGGACGGCCTTGTCCGCCGCCTGCGGTTCAAACCCGGCTCTTCTGCCCGCACCCAAGGCCGGCACTGCAATTTGCCATAGAAGCACTTTCTTGATAAAAGGCTGCTCTCCTCCTTTTATTAATTTTCCATGTGCTGTCCCAGTTTATTAGCCTGCATTGATTATTTTCTGGTCAGTGACACCATGGCAACACTTTTGTGCTTCGTGCACAAATAATGAACGAAGACTAGAAAAGCTTCCCCTTTCATGTCAGATGAACCATGGGAGGAATTAGGAATTGGAGGCCAGGCTATTTTTTCTTGAGGTAAATTCTGTCACTGGCTCACTTTGAAGGGTGAGTAGAGAGGCTTGCGGTGAGCGCATCTGGTCCGTAGCCTTGTGCGTCTGCGTGAGCACCATCGTCTTTATAATGGAGGAAAGCCCAGGCACACCTCGGGCGCAGCGCAGGCTCGGTTCCAGCCACGGCAGTAAAGCGGGTATCAGTACAGCGAGTCACGCGCACTTGTGGTTTCCCAGTGCATCTCAAAGACATGTTTACACTACACTGTGAAGTGTGCACTAGCATTGTGTCCAAAAAACAAACAAAAACACTCTGCATACTTTCATTAAAATACACTTTATTGCTAAATAATGCTGGCCGTCGTCTGAGCCCAGGGAAAGACGGTGCTCATAGGCAGCCTGGGCTCAGGGTCACACAAACCTTCGTCTGCAGAAAAGGCAGCGTCTGCAGCGCAGGAGAGCGAGGTGTGTGTGCCTGGGCCTTATCCGAAGCCTCCCGTTTCTCTCTCCCCCCCTCCCGGCAGATTGGGGATAAAAGCTGCTCCAGCCACTCCAGCAGCAACACGCTGTCCAGCAACACCTCCAGCAACAGCGACGACAAGCACTTCGGGTCTGGGGACCTGATGGACCCCGAACTGCTGGGGCTGACCTACCTGAAAGGGGCGTCCACCGACAGCGGCATCGACACAGCCCCGTGCATGCCCCCCGCGGGCCTGGGCCCCGTGCACCTGGCAGGCAGCAGGTCCCTGATCCACAGTCGGGCCGAGCAGTGGGCCGACTCCGCCGACATCTCGGGGCCTGAGGACGAGCAGGCGAAGATGTACGCGGTCCACGGCTACGCACCTGCCGGCTGTGCCAGCGGCGCTGCTGGCGGCAGCTTGGGCGACCTCAGCGAGATCTCCTCTCATTCCAGGTGAGTGCCTGTGGCTCTGCTGACCAGCACCTGCCAGAGGTGGGGGTGGGGGCCTGAGATAGGAACAGTATGCAGGTGAGATTTGATGTCACCTGTTTGCCCAATGCCTGCCCGCTTGTTTGTGGTTGTATTTTCCTTTCCCTAAATTTGAGAGAGAATGAAATGGAGCTGTTACTTGCTCTAGTCAGTCTTCTTACCTCGCTCCCTTGTTCCATCTAGTGTCCCTAAATTTTTAGAAGCGGTGGCCAGGTAAACAGTACTCAAGTTACAGTGAACAGTCATTAGGGAAGAGGTAGGGGTGGCCTCCGCGTGGTCTGCGCGTGGCCCCTACGAGAGAGGCCCGGGCCAGCTGGGCCTCCGTCCTATAGCCCGACAGGAAGGAAGCCCTGCGGTCAGTCTGCGCAAAGCCACAGTTCAACTTTTAAAAAACGAGGACCAGCCAAATGGAAAGGGATGACATTCTAAATGTAGGTGTTCAATGTGTGGTTATGAGGCGTGACAAACTATTTGGCATGTGTTTGTGCAGTGGTTTTAAAACTCACGATCTGTGATTCCTGCCTTTGAAGACTAGGCAAAGGAAGACACGGGCAGGCGTGGCTTTGCGCAGACGCTGACGGCTGCCTGCCTGCTGCCGCTGCCCTGGGCCTCCCGCGCGTGGTCCTCCCTGGTGCGGCCCCGCGTTCCTCCCCGACGTCCCAGGGCACGTCTCCGTGCTGGAGGACAGTCAGCGGAGCCCATCGTGGGAGTGCCCCCCGCCCCCCGTCCTGCGGCCCGGCGGGAGCACTTCCCCCACCGTGGACGGTGCTCCGGCAGAGCTCGCCGTGCAGGCCCGTGCTCCCAGCTCCCCCTTCCTCGCAGTGTCTTGGGGCCAGCTGTGCTGTTCAAGGGCGTTTAAGCTACAAGGTAAAGAAAACGCCGTCCTAGGTGGTTCACGCAGCCCAGGCTGTGTTCTGGCTCATGTAACCGAAAGGTCCAGAACTGTCAAGGTTCTGCTTGACCCGGCAGCTCTCAGATAATGTCACCCAAAACCGGTCCCTCATCCCGAGGATCCACGTGACAGCCCCTGAAATCGTGGCACTCCCTCTCGGTGGGAGACGGCGCTGTCACCTGCAGGCCTCCGGCACTCACGTTCCTCTGTCGCAGCAAGAAAATGCGGTTCTTCTCTGGTCTCTGCAGACACCCCCCAAGCTCCCCTCCCAGCTCACTATTCCTGCTCACTATGGTGGGGGCACCATTGTCCAAGGCAGGCGGGGCCCTCTTGAGGGGGGGTCAGTCCCCCAAACCGCGCTGCTGCAGAGCCGCTTCCCCAGGCGCTGGCCGGGCTGTTGTTTCACCGGGAGAAGGGGGCGTGGAGGCCAGAGCGGGCGGGAGCTTAGGCGACAGAGACCATTTTCAAAACAGACATCCCTGCTCCTTCTCTTCACTTCTCGTTAATTATGACTTAACATCTGTTTAGTAATAAGTAACTAAAATAGTATGTGAGTATTATTACTGACTTCGGTTACCTGAGTTCCTTCTATCTTAATTTCAGGGACAGTAGACTATCGGCCATCCCATAAAAGCCACCTTGGGATTTTATGACCTTCTAATGTCTTGTTCAGAGTTTAGAAGACTTGTAAAGCTGCTGATTTCATGAAACCTTGTTAGACTAATGTAATTTGGCATTAATTACTATTAAGGAAAATTTCTGTGGAAACTGCTCTCAGAGCACATTCGTTTATAAATAGAGGAAGGGGTACTTGTAGGGATTTAAAGTAGGTTTTCTTGAATACCTTAACCATTCATGAACTCAGGAGCTCAGACTATTAGAGAGGACATAAAAGTGCTAGATAGAATTTCTGATTGATCTTACTTTTTCCACCACTTTAAATTGAATCCGTGCACAGCTGTGGTGGATATGATATACGTGGAGTGAGTGGATCCTGTACCACCTGCCTGTCTTTTTCTTGCCACTCATAGCTGATGGTGACTTTGAAGCCACATTTCCACTTGCATTGTAGGCTTTTGTATGAAATTCAGTCATGAAATTGAATCTTTTGAATATTCCTTCTGTCTGTCCCCTACCTGTGCAGCAGGGCTAGAGAATTTTAAATAAATTTTAAATATTTTAATGTTTTTAAGTATGTTAAATATATTAATGTTTACATTTAAAATAATATTTAAAACATGTGTATTGAGGTCAAAGGAACCTTGCTCATCCGAGTACCAGGGACAAGCCCATCAAAGTTGAACTGAGAGGCTGCAAGTTCTGAACGCGAGGGCCAGACTGGCGGGCATGTGTGTCCATGAGGGCGACTGTCGTCAGCCCATTGTTTCCCCTGACATCTCAGCTCAGACTGGCGCGCGGCCCACGCGGAGCTGAGGCCCGCTGCTCCAGGTCTGGGCTGTACCTCGACTGGCCCCGAGTGGCAGAAGAGCAGAGGTACCCTTTCAGGTTGGACATCAGTGCTGACACCTGGCTACGGTGACCTTGGCCCCGGGCGCTCTGTATTCCCGGCCCACGTTTTAGTCTCTTCTTAGCACACGGCCTCCCTGAAGTCATTTGTGCTTGCGGTGCCCCTTGCACGTGGCGGGCATCGAGTGTTTGTAGAACGGAGGAGGGAACTCTTAAGAGGAGCGCTGGTAAGCCAGCGCCTGGGCAGCCCAGGAAGTCGGGGGCCCGTAGGAGCCGCTGCTCCCAGTGCACAGTGTCCGAGCCCAGAGCAATGCTCTGCGTCTTCTTAGTCCTCTAATCCCGCCCCCCCAACACCGCCTCCCCCCTCCAGCCCCAACACCCAGGCTCACTCCCAGCAGCCACCAGGAAGGAGCAGGGAGGAAGCCGTGTGTGTGGTGTGGCTCCGGGACAGCGCTGAGAAGGGAAGGGGGACTTAAAGCTCTTCAGGACAATTTCGGGGTCAGGGGTGCGGGAATCATCCATTCAGTAGACAAGCGTATGTCTGGCCTACTTTCTCCTGCTGCTCAGTTCTTTTAATTCAGAAAATCCATTGTTTTTCTTGTTGCGAGCCCAGGGCGTATAGAGAAGAGCTCAGGATACAACATAGTAGTCACATTAGCCTAACCAAGGCTCGGCAAAGTGAGATAAATCAACTGCAGGGAAAAAGAAGGAAAGAAATCCATATTCTAGGTTCTTTTACAAATGGCTCATGTGATTGTTTTTTTTGTCATTCCTGTCATCGTATCCCTTTCTTAGAGCAAATGACTAGAAGTTGGCGGTGACACTCTAAAATAAGAACTTTAAAGAATTCATGAAAAGCTAATTGCCAACATTAGAATGTTTACCAGCTTCAGTGAAAACTTTTATACTGATGCTACTGCTGCTACACACAGATTTTTGCGATATCACTCATTACATGGAGTCCATCAGTTTGTTCTTAGAGTTTAACTTTAAAATATTTTACTGTTGGGGGTAAAGATTTTTAATCTACTCTGAATTACAAAAGTATCTTTTATAAAAACAAATGGAAAAATACATAGGGTTTGTGACCACGCCTTCATTGTTCACATCGTATTCTCAGAAAAGGTTCAGTTCGGTCATTTGAGGGGGAAGGGTGGGGAGCTTATGCAGTGTAGGAGCTAGCCCGGGCCTTGGGCTTCCCCCGGCGTGACCACGGACCATCCTGGGGGCGATCAAAGCCTTGCAAATGCGTGCGCCCGTGGTGGCTCAAGGCCGCACGCGGTTCTTCATCGGTCCACATGGAGGGACTGAAGCCGTAAGCATTATGGGGACAGTTGAGAAACTCGAATATGGGCTGCATATTAGACAACAGCATTGCACTAATGCCCAGTTTCTGAGTGTGCTAGTCACGTTGTCACCATGCAGGAGGGTGTCCTTACTAGCAAAGATGTACTGAAATTTAGGAGTATGATCTTGTAAGGTTTGCAGCTAATCCCCCGATGGTTCGCAGTGGCACATGGAGGGACGGGACTAATGCAGGCGCGGCAGGGTAGTAAGACGCGGTGGACCCAGAGGAAGGGAATGTGGATGCTCTTCTGCTGTTCTGATAGCTTTTCTGTGGATCTGAAATGTTTTACAGTAAGAAGCTCAGGGAGGACCCCGCAGGCCCCCAGAGCCCATTGTCTAGACACGGAGTCTCCCTGCTCGGAGTTCACCAGCTGGCGACTCCGGTGGCGACCCCTGAGGAGCTGTTAAGATCAGTGCTCCTGTCAACACCGCCACCTGTTCCCAGGTGCATGTGTGCAGGGGCGTGTGTAGGGTGGACACGCGGGGGCAGGACGGCTGGGTCAGACGCTGCGCAGGTGCGCGCGCTCCCAGGTAGCGCGCAGGCTGCTTCCCAGCTGTCGCACTCTCTCTGCTCCACCAGCAGTGGGAGGGGACCCATGGCTCTAAGCTGGGCCGACACTGGGCGTTCTTTAGCAGACAGTCTCATTTCCACCAATCTGGGGGATGCGTCGTGACCTTCTCGGCTTGCCCTGGCATCTCCCTGGTGCCTTCCTCGCTTTTGAAGCCTCCGTTTAACTACGTTGCCCATTTTTCTGTTCTATGTCCCTGCCGTGTGTTGAGCATCCTCGGCCCCTGGAGACTAAGGTGCTCTAACTGGTGCCTGTGCAGCGGCAGCGTCTCTGCTTCCGCCGCCCAGTTTCCTCACAGGAGGACAGGAGCAACGCATGTGGCTTCGAGTCTGGGGACAGGCCAGCATTGCCAAGCTCTGATTATATTGCGCTTCGGTCTGTTTTTCTCCGCAGTGGCTCGCACCATTCAGGAAGCCCCTCGGCCCACTGCTCCAAAACCACTGGGTCTCTGGACACGTCCAAAGTCTACATCGTGTCTCACAGCAGCGGCCCGCCGGTCCCGGGGTCCATGTCCAAGTCCTACCACAGACAAAGGGCAGTGAGCAAATACGTCATCGGCTGGAAGAAGTCAGAAGGCAGCCCACCGCCTGAGGAGCCTGAAGTGACTGAATGTCAGGGGTAAGGTGGCCGGCAGGCCTTCTCTAGGCGACCTTGTACATCTTAGGGACTGACTAAGCAAATGTATGTCCCCCCAACAGAATATATTTTCGAAAGAAGAATACTCTAGAAACATCTTTGTAAAACCCCTTAAATGTTGGCATTGATATTTCTCTTTAAAAGTCTTCTCTTTCCCTGATTTTTGCACACACAGTTACTGGAAATCCCTGTTCCTTATACTCGTGAAGGTGCCTACAGTAGAAAAGTCATGGTAATGTTCTATTGACGTTGTCGGCGTCGAGTCTGTGAATAAACAAGTTTAAGGACAATTTGAATTCCCAGAGAGTCCGTGTGCATTTCTTAAAGCGGATGTGTAAGCGACATCTCTAAGGAAAAAATGTCTCACCCAGTTTCATCAAGACTGATCTCCCTTTCAGTGGTTGGGTTTAGTGGGGGCAGGTAGGGAGGGGTGTTTCCTATCTGTTTGAAAAAAGGCCAAAAATACTGGTAACTTACTACGTTGTGAAAGCTATGCTGATAACACGCATTTCAAGTTGCAGAGCAAGGCCGGGCAGTCCTAGTTAGCCGTTGGTTTGCTCATTTTTTAAAAGACAAAATTAAAAACAAAACCCACATGCGCTGCAGCGCGAGGTCCTGGGCTTTTGCTGGGTCTGCAGGCACTGACAGCGTCCCCAGGCGTGGGTGCCAGGGCAGCCGTGGCTTTCAGGGAGCTCGCCTGGTTTTAAGCTTCGTTAGTGAACTAGCGTCGCTTTTTTTTTCCCCTTGAAAAGTGATCTACTTCATAAAATATGGCCAACAGTCATATTGCCTTTTAAATTAAGGATTATTTTAGTGGTAAAATTGGACTTGGAATCTTTTAGTAAAAAAGCCCTCAGGTCAATAATTGGAAATAAATTATTTAGAAAGTAATTTTACAATAATAACTATACTTTTTAAAACATAAACGCAGATGTTCTAATGACAATGTTGGCATTTCTGTCTAATAGAGTCTTTTGCACGCTCCCTAGAAATTCATCCCAAGCCTTGTAAGTTCTACAAAACACTCATGAAAGCATCTTGCACGTTGGTGTCAGCGCTGGGCTCTCTGGGACATCCCCCTTGAGCCCAGGCAGCGCGTGCGTTCCAGCGCCCTGTGCTGGCGACCGGCTCCCAGGAAGCGGGGCGGTGTCAGGAGGGCTGTGAGAAGGGGTTTGCCTCGCTGAGCGGCAGAGCGCTGATTTCCCGGTGTTGCTTGAGGGCCGTGCTGGGATTCGAACCCGGGCCTCCCGGGCTCCGACCAGACCTCTTCACAGCGTCAGGCTCAGCCTGGTGCCCCGGCCTCATCCTGCGGAGGAAAGCGCTTCTAAAACAAGAAGGCAGAAGAGATGCACGCATAATAACCCCTGCAGCCACACAGGGCCGCACCAACTAGACTTGAAATTTTGTCAAAACACTGCTTTATCAAATCACTGGAACATATGCTTAGAAAAAGCTCGGCCAATATAGCGTGTTTGTACCAGTGTGAGTTAGAGAATATTACTGTCTCATTGAACACAGAATACGAAATCAGTGTGCCTTCCAGAAGTCCCCCTTAACTGGAAACAGCCAGTTATTTTTAAAACCATTGATTTGGGGTTTTTGTAATATAACCTCCTGTTTTAAAATGCAGCTAACAAGGGCTGCACGTTGATTCAGGTAGCCCTCAGCGTGTGCCCTGGTGCTGTGGGTGCGTCCGGTTTTCTCCTCCGTGGTTCTCACCGCCCCGGCCCTGGAAGCCCGTCAGGTCCCCATGGCAAAAGCAGAGGGTCTCCAGGCACGTCCCTCCTTCACGGGCCACGTGAGCAGCGTGGGTTGAACCGCACAGGTCCATTTATACGTAGGCTTTTTCAATGTATTTTCTCTTCCTCATGATTTTCTTAACATTTTTTTCCTAGCTTATTTTATTATATGACTATAATATATAATACACATAACATGAAAAATATGTGATGCTCAACTGTTTAAGTCAACAGTAGGCCATCAGTAAAGTTTTGGGGGCTCAAAAGTTATACATAGACTTTGACTGTGGGGAGGGTCAGCTCCCTTGACCCCCGCGGTGTTCAGGGGTCGCCTGCGTAAGTATTAGACTTTATCTGGGCAGTTACTGAGGCGACCTGGGTTTGGGACTGGCATCTGTCCCAAAGCACCTGGCAGAGGCTGCTCTTGAGCACCCCCCAGCTCCACGCCTGCGCGGAAGCGCGCAGCAGCACACCTCCATGGGGCTCCCCTGGTGGCTTTGTGCAGAGCTCCCAGGCCATCCCACGGGCCAGCCACATCTTCAGTCACGTTCCAAACGTTTTCAAAAGCTGCTCCGCACAGCCACTGTCTGCTCACGTTGTCAGCGAGGCTGGTGCTTCTGGTCTGAGATGCGCAGGAAACCCAAGCTGCCTCAAGAACAAAGCAAATAAAGCAAAGCAAGCAAAACAGACACCTCTCATAGGTCGTTGCTAGTTCTGAGCATGTCTCTGAGTTTCTTATTCCGCTCATTTCCCAGGGAGCTGTCATTCTCGGGTCAGGATAGCCTTGCTTCTGAACGAGAGTCGTCTCGGTGACACACAGCAGCGTCGCGCAGGTCACCCTCAGCTGCCCGCCGCCCTGGGCCTGGGTTCCTACGGCCTGTGTCATGGGCCATGTGGCTGACGCGCGCCTCGCTGACCCTGTCCGTTGCGTTGTCTGCAGGCGTGTTGGGTTGCTCAGATTGCATTTGCAGAACCCTGTTAAAACACGGCTCCCCGGTTTTCTCCCTGGAAAAGAGCTGGAAACAAATTCAGCTAGACTGCCTTTTGTTGTCCATAAATACATTTTATATACTGATAATTAAGAGAGACAGCTGCTTTATTTATCCAAACAGCTTTGTGACATTGCTGATAATAAAACATGCTTGGCACACGCCCGAATCGATTACTCATAAACTCCAGGCTCCCTCGGGGGTCTCTCTGCCTTCCCCGAGACGCGGGGCGTGGCTGTCTCAAGTTCCTGGGAAGCACAGGGGTTCCCCAAAAGGAACAGGATAATCTCTCATGAATTATTGAAATCGTGTTTTCTGACACAGATTAGGAAAGGAGACGCGCACCCTTATGTTATAAGCTGGCTGTATTTTTTCTCAAAAAAAGCTGGGCTTTTGGGGGGCGCCTGATTTGTTTCTGAATTATGCAGAAACCTAACTGTGCAGTTGAGCTCATTTCACAGCAGACCTGGGGATGTGGAGTGAATGCTGCAGAAGTGAACGGACGTAGCAGCTAAGAGTTGAGCGTTACTGTGTAGGCAGTCGTTGAGACTGGTTAGGAGACTCGAGTTCTTCACGCTGCAGGCACGTTACAAACGGGCCGGCTCCTCCTTCTCATCTCCTTTCTGCTTTGTTCCGACAGGCTATATGGCGAGAGGGAGCTTATGTCCCCAGCAACTCAGCATCAGACAGTGGTGGGGGATGCCGTCTCAGAAGCTCAACATGTTCTGTCAAAAGAAGACTTTGTGAAATTAATGCTTCCTGACAGCCCCTTAGCGGAGGAGGGCAGAAGAAAGGTTAGTAGCTTCTGTGGGGCTTTGAAGTTTCTAGCAGCACTAAAGGAAACTCTAAATTAGAGCCTTGAGGGTTCCCAGAGCACCTCTGCATGTGTTATCTGTTTCTCGTGATCCTGCCAATAGCTCTGGGCGCAGCTGGCCACTTTCGGTGTTTATTCTGTCAATAAGCAAAGCGAGCCTGGGGGGTTAGGAAGGACAGCTGTCGAGCGTGGGCAGGCGAGGCTAGAGTCTGAGGGGCCTGGCCTCGAACCCCGGCTCCAACAACGATCAGCGGCGTGGCTCTGTACCAGTGACTGGACCTCTCGGCCCAGTTTCCTCCTCTGTACAAAGGTGGTGACCGACAGCACTCGCAGAGTGTGCGGGAAAGATAAGAAGGGAGCTGGGCAGAGCCTAGATTTAACAGATGACCAGAAATAGTAGCTGTCATCATTCACAGCGCCTGGCTTTTGCTCCAAGAGCTCCCCTCTCTGCTCCAGGCTCTTCTTCCTAGATGGAATCCCGTCCCAGACGGGGCAGGAGTTCAGTATACCGCAGGCCGAGCGTGCTTCCACACAGGACGGAACTCGGACCCTTCTGTGCCGGACAGAACCGCGCAGCCATCCCAGGGAGGACGCGCGTCAGTCCAATAAGCCAACCTCGCGTCCCAGGCGCTCCTCATGTGCAATGCAACAGACCCTGCCTGACATTCGATTTAGTTTCATTATTATTACTGCCTCATAAATCACTCTGTTAAATACTATGACATATTAAAAGGGACTCACAGATCACCCAGCCCAGTCTCCCCTTTTTGCAAGCAGCTGAGGCTCCCTGCATGGTGAACGGTGAGGTCTACCTAAACATTTGGTGGAATCCACATCATCTTCCTTCTAACCCAGCGCTCTCTCATGCTAAGAAAAAAGAAAAACAATCCAGCGTTACCACATCCACTGGGATCAGGGGGAACACCAAGTCCCAGGCTTATGCTCCCCTGTAGTAAAATAATACTGCAATTAACCTAATTGTGTTTCAGAGTAACACTCTAATTAGACACCACCGCAAAGCCGCTTTAATCTGCTGGGCCTGTAATCTTGTTGAGGCACCTGCTGGTCCTGGGAAGTGGGGGTCCCCGAAGAACTCAGGCTCAACGAGTCTTTTCTTTTTAACTTGTACCAGGCCATGTATGGGGTCCTGTAAGCTGGGAGCCAACTCCTGTACACTGAGTACAAGCAGCTTTCCTTTCAATAGGATTGAACTTCTGCTTGATACATGTGGGTTTTTCCTGCCAAGAAAAACCACCTCCGTTTCGTGGTGTGAGTTTAGCTTCATGGCGCGCGCGCATGCCAGCGCCCATTCGTCCGCTGGGCAGACTTGAGTGGAGGGCACACGTACAACAGGGATATTTTTAGCTGTCTTGCTGCACTCACAAACGTAAATAGCGATTTCTGTATTTGTTTGATGCAAACATTCTGGCTTTTACTACTGGTCATGTAAAGGGAGGGTGGTCCAGTGTGCGGGGGTAGTTGGAAATTTAGGTTTTATTTAATTTTCCTTGAGTTGTTGACTTGCTGCTTCAATAGGAATTTTCCTCCTTACCCTGTGTGTGTTTTAATACACAATCGTTTTAATGGTTCCTTTCAATCTGGTTATGATCCATTACTATAATTAAGTTTTCAACAATTGTAAGACTTTTGTGAGTGATACTTTAGACAGTAATATTGGGTTGGCCAAAAAGTTCGTTTGGTTTTTTTCCCTAAGATGGCTCTAGTCACACTTAGTTGTCTTTAAGTTCATTCGAAACAATTTTGTTAGATTGTATTGTGACAGCTATCATATCAGCATGTGTTTAAGGGAAAAAAAAAACGTATCAAAACTGGTGAATTTTTGTGTAGCCGTTTTAATATTGAAGACGGAAGAAAATACATACTTTTGGCATATTATGCTTTATTATTCCAAGAAAGGTAAAGAGATTTGTGCAGTGTATGGAGAAGCTACTGTGACTGATCAGACATATCAACATGGTTTGCGAAGTTCTGTGCTGGAGATATCTCACTGGACGATGATGCTCCATGATCGGGGTAGACCAGTTGAAGCTGATAGTGATCTAATCAAGACATTGATTAAGAACATTCAACGTTATACCACATGGGAGATAGCCAAACTATTCAAAATATCCAAATCAACAAAGTTATTCGTGAAAATGAAAAATGCGTTTTTGAGTTTACTGAAAAAAGTAAAGGAACTTTTTGGCCAGCCCAATATGCTACTTTACCAATTCCATTTTTCTTCAACCTATTTGTATGGCCTAGAAAGCTACAGTCTTCAAAATTAGTTTTATTGCTATTTAGATTAGATTGAACCTCACATGCAGTGGATTGGCACGGAAATTGCCTAATATTAAAATGGAGTCATTTCACATTAAAATCAAACCAGCTTTCTGTGTGGTTTTGAACAAGTGTTGCCTGAGATGACAGCCCTCTCTCTTCCCAGGAGCTGCCTCCGCTCTGAGGTGATGGAGGTTCCATTTAGCATTTCAGAATTAATAAAGCTGTGCATGTCTAAATCGTGGTAACATTTCCCAGAAAAATCACAGGAGGAAAACCTTCCAATCCAATAAGTGCCCCGAAGGCCCTCTGCCTTTGCCTAGGTGACCTGTGGTCACAGTGCGGTGTGAACCCACTGATGTAGTCACATCCGCTCCACGTTTTCAGCCTTGTAATGTCCATTTTCTCCCATCCCCCGTGTTTAAACCCCTAGTTTTCGTTCTACGGGAACCTGTCCCCACGCCGCTCGCTGTACCGCACTCTGTCCGACGAGAGCGTATGCAGCCATCGGAGGGGCTCCTCCTACGGCAGCTCCCGAAGCTCCGCTCTTGACCAGGCGCTGCCCAACGACATCCTGTTCAGCAGCACCCCGCCCTACCGCAGCACCCTGCCGCCCAGGACGCACCCCGCGCCCAGCATGGCCGGCCTGCGCAGTGAGTGCGGGGCCGTCGGTCGCCTCCTGCGGGGGGCGGGGGGGTGAAATATATACCATTTGCTGGTGCATTTTCTTTCTTTTTTAAAAAAAGTATAAAAGCCCCAGAGTGGACATTTTGTAAAAATTTAAGCACGACTACTCATTTTGAAGAAAATTAGAAAACATATATTCAGCATTTTTACCAAGTGAAATAGTGACCTTTATGCTATATCTCAGTTGGTACATAGAGAATAAAATATCTAAAACCTGAATTTATAAAGAAAAAACTGGTGCTCGGGGAAGGGGCAGATTTCCTGCAGGCAGCAAGCCAGGAGGAAGGTTTGGTTTTCTCTCCTTCTGCCTCTGTTCTCTTGGAGCTTCAGTGCCCGGCGCTGCCTGGGTGCGGCGGGCGGGCGGGGGGCCGTGGGCCTGGCTGCCCCTGCCAGCGGGGGCGGGGCCTGACCGAGTGCTCCTCTCGCAGTTTCTGCACCTGCTTTACTCCTGTGTGCTGGTCACAGGCTGACTGGATGCCTCCTGGGTGACAGTCCTTCAAACCCTCAAACCTTCGGTTTTTACATAATGTCAGTTACTTATGAATATGTCACTGTTGAATGATTTTTATTACATCGGCTTTATTTCTTTTCTCGTAGTTAATTTCTGTTGTACAGGAAGAATGGGGGATTAACCAGAAATACATTCATTGTCAGGTTTTTTTGAACATTTCATCATAGGAAGTATTATCTCTAAAACGAACTTGAGCTTCATAATAATGCACATAGAGGTCCTGGGTAAATGAAATAAAAGTTCTAATAATGTTTCTGATGTTTAACATAATTGGAAATGAACCTTCTCATAAAATTCTTAATCTGTTTCTTTAAGTGACTTAATATCCTGCCTGTTTTAAAGGGTCCATTTGCCTAAATTGAAGAAACCTTTAATCTCCTTCTTAATAACCAGGTCAGACAGACATATTCTAATACCCTAATATAAATGCTTTTCCTTTCTAGTTAAATAGGTGATTCTAATGTCCTCTTAAAAGCTTTTGCAAAACCAGTAAAACTCTATTTTCTTACAAATGTTATTGTTTTTACTTCAAATGCTTGAAGTGTGATGTGAAATTTATGACATATGTATTATGTAGTTCTTACATTCTACCCTTTATTCGCTTCATGTGAAAGATACATATCTTTTTTTAGCTTCACTTATTTTTAATAAACTGTTTTAGAGTAGTTTTAGGTTCACAGCAAATTTAGCAGAGACCCCGGAGTTCCCATACACGGCCGTCTGCACGCAGGCCCAGACCCCTGTTGCCAACACCCCGCAACAGAGCAGGACACCTATTAGACCCCATGAACCTACCCCAGCCATCGAGGCCACCCAGGATCCTGGCTTCCATACCTCAGGGTCCCTTCTTGGCGTCTCACGTTCTGTGGTCTGGATAAACGTGCACCGACCTGCGCCCACCATCATAGTATCACACAGGGTGTCTTCTCTGTCCCCTCAAATCCTCGTGTTTCACCTTCTTATCCCTCCCTCCCCCTGAGCCCCTGAGCGCCTGGAAGCCACTGACCTCTTTCCTGTCTCCCCAGCTTCCAGAACGTCATACAATTTGAGTCGTACAGCATATAGCTTTTTCTGATTGGCTACTTTGATTCAGCAATATCCATTTAAGGTTCCTCTGTGTCTTTCATGGTTCGATAGCTCGCTTCTTTTTAGCGCAGAACAACATCCCGCTGTTCGGAAGGGCCACAGTTTGCTAACCATTTACCCTCTGAAGGCCCACGTCCTCCTCCGGTGCGTTCTCAGGAGGAAGGCGTGGCGGGGGCGCAGGCGGGAGGCACTATCTCCGCTGTTGCTTCACTGTCCAAGTTCAAACTGCCCGCCCGCCCCCACCATTCGTCTCTCCGGGAAACACAATCAGCAGCCATTCACTGTTCTCTAACAAAACCTTTTATTATTATTATTATTATTATTACTTATTTTTTTAGAGAGAGGGGAAGGGAGGGGGAAAGAGAGGGAGAGAAACATCGATGTGTGAGAGATACATTGATCAGCTGCCTCTCGCAAGCCCCCCACCGGAGACCCAGCCCGAAACCCAGGCCTGTGCCCCAACTGGGAATCGAACCAGCAACCCCTCAGTTTCCAGGCCAGTGCGCAATCCACTGAGCCACATCAGCCGGGCTAATGAAACCTTCTGATTAGGCAACGTGATTCCTACACTAACGACTCAGAAAAAATTCACCAGATTTGATGGGTGAAATGACAAAAAGTCAGGGAGCTGGAAGTAATCCCTATCAATGTGTCTGCCCCCAGACCGCCCAGGGAGAGCCTCAGCCTCAAGGCCTGGCCGTCCCTGGGGGACCTCAGCCTCCCACACTCACCGCGCGCCTGTGAGCTAACACGGGCCTTAGTTCTGCTTCGCTTTCTGCAGTTTCTGGTCGTTCGGCAGAGGCTCCGTGAGAAGGTGTCACTTGCAGAGTAGTCGACAGACAGTCTGAAACTGGGCCCAGAAAGCGGAAGTGTATGTGTTGACACCCGGCAGATGTCTGCGCGCAGAACCGAGGGGCATTTGAGGTTGCCCTGCCCTTCCTCATAGTTCCCCTGAGACTTCGCTGTGCCTTCGAACTCGGAGCGCAGGCCAGTGCTGTTGAATCTTGTTGCCCTGAATGGTTGAATAGCCGCATAGCTGAGCCAGGCCAAACTGAAAGGCACACGTATTCTTTTCAGCTTGAAAACTCGCTCATTCCTAAGAGCATCTGATCGTCAAAGAGACAAGCTTTCACTAGTACAGACTCACTCAGATCTCGTTCCCATCTTGCAGTACAGAGAGCGCAGCGGAAAGGTGAGCAGGTCCACGTCTCTTGGTGCAACGGGGAGACCCCGTCGCTGCGCCTCCTCCATGTATAATTACAATCTCAGGCGTCTGGGTCAAGTATTTTTAGATCTTAACTGTCCCAAACTTGAACCTGTCTCAGAATCTTTGTTCTCAGGAGATCAAGATCTTAATCCAACCTTGGGAGACAGGTCTTACCTGCATGTTTGGGCTGGGACTCAGGTTGTGTTTCGTGCGTATTTCCTGCGGAGTCCCTGACACAGCCCGCGCCATTATGTCTTCAACTTGGAGGTGCTCAGAGAACAGATGGGGAAGGGAACAGATGAGGTGCTCACTGTGCGGCCGCATGCGGGTGGCTCCCTGCGCAGACCCCGCCCAGGCCCCGGCAGACCAGCACCCGCAGGGCTCACCTCAAGGGCAGAACCTGTGTCTGTGTCCTGCTGTCCCTGGTGGTACCTGGAAAAGAGCAGATGCTCAGTAAACCTCAGGGGGTGATGCCAGGGATACTGTTGGTGATACCTAATATCAGTTAAAAGGATTTTTGATGGTTTGAAGTCTCAGACCAAAAGAAAACCAGAGATGGTAATTAATTTTTTTAATTAAATGCTTCTCCAAGTAATGGGGTGCGGGGTGCGGGTAGGTGCTTTCCGTTGTGATAATTCAGAGAGGGATGTGGCAGCCCCTCCTCCGGTTCCGGTGACTGTCGCTGACACTGGGTCCTCCCCCTGCGTCTGGGAGGACGATGCACTTCGACTTAACTCTGGCTTCTCAGAGCTGTTCTGTCAGACTGTGCCCCTCCTGGCGCAGCTCCTCGCCATTCCTGCCTCGGTGGCTGGCACCCCGCAGGCAGGCCTCCCCCGGGTGCACCATCCGCCGCCTCAGTCCCCCCAGCCTGGTCTGTTTCCTTTGAAAGACTTGACATGAAGAAAATCCTCAGCTTGGCATTTTTCGGGCACACCTGACTGACAGAGTGTACCTTCTGTAGCCATATGTATTCGCCTGAGTAATTGTCGCTCTTTAATGTTTTCCTGCGCAGTGATAGCAGCAGAGGGGCCAGCGCGGGGCGTGTGCCCCCGGGTCGCCCCCCCACCCCCGGCCTCTGTCCCTTCCCGGAGCCACCACCCTCTGACCCCGTTCCTGAAGGACTGTGTCACAGGGAGGGACTCAGTGACATAAGCCCTTGCCACCTAGTTATGTAATTTCTCTGGACTTGGTACAGAGAACCTGCTTTCAGCCCGTTTGTTAGAGACGTGAAGACCTCCGGGCCTCCTTGCCTTTCTGTCTGGGGGCTGGGTCTCAGACTCCCGGCGAACATCCGGGGCCTGGAGGGGGCCCGCCCAGCCTCTGCCCAGCATGCGCCTCCCAGGGTTCCAGAGACCGAGCTGCCTGCCCCCTGTCCCAGCTCCCCTCGGGATTTGTCGCTTGCACACGCCCCTTGGCTACCCCCCGGCCAGGACGGAGCTCACCCCGCTCAGAACAGGCGGGAATGGCGGTTATTTCAGAGACGAACACAGCACGCGGAGGGGGAGGCGCAGACCGAGGTCCCATAACCGGGTTCCCTTCCCAGTGACCACTGGGACTAGGTGGGGGCCTGTCACCACAGGTTAGAAACAGCATTGGTTGAGCGGCAGCCGCTGGAGGTGGTTCAGAGGTGCCTGTGGGGAGCAGGCTGCGGGTGCCCTTCGAGGCCAGCGACGAGCGCTCCGGCTCCGCCCGGTGCCGGCACTTCACAGCGACCCGAGAGGGTGTGGGACCGAAATTACAGGTGCATTTAGTTAATTATGTCCCTTACTTAATTGCAGCCTCAGACAGCCAGGTGGTCATTATTTTGATTGTTCTAATTAGTCAGATGTGTTCACACGCAGCTGCATGAACGTCCTCGGGCAGGTTCAGAAAAGACACGGTAGAGAAAGCCCCATGGAAGCCTTTAGAAAACGTGCCCCCAGATGCACACCCTCCTAACAACTAGCATTAATGACGTCACACTCAAGGACCTGTGGTGAGAGCTTCAGGAGAAAAAGCAGCCTCAGAGGCCCATTTGTACAGACAAAGGAAGACCGTGGAACACCCAGTGCAGGACGGGAGAGGTTTCTGGTGTAGCCTGTGACCGAGCCACCCCATTAAGCCCCAGTGCGCAAAATGTCCCCTTTCTTGCCCGTTCCAAATGGAAACAAAGTTACTCTTCCTGCATTTTTATAATAAGCTGACATTCCAGTCATGATGATTGGGGGCGATCAGCTCAGACCACTGTACCTCAGGACACTTCTTAAACTTCCTGGTTGGAGAGACACTGTGCCCAACCCTCTGGGCAACGCGAACATGCAACACTCTTTAAAAGCAGGGCAGTCACCTCTGAGGAAGGCAGGCGCTGGTCTGGTGAGTGCAAGGCGGGTGGAGGTCCTTCGGTGAGGTCCCCGTCCGTACGGAGGCTCACCACTGTCCCCTCCCTTGCTCCTAGGTCTCTGCTGCCTGACTCCAAGTGAGTCTGCCAGTCGTGACTTTTTTTACGAACTCCTGATTTTCCAGCTGTGTCTCTTGTGGGCACATACTCTGTGGGAGTTGGAGCGGGGAGGCGGGCAGGAGACCTTTCTCAAGAAGTTCCCTTGAAGGGGCCGGCCAGTGCCCCGCGCCACAATCTGACTGACTCTGGTTTTGTTTCATTTAGACGAGTTCTGGTTCTCCGACGGGTCCTTATCGGACAAGTCCAAGTGTGCAGACCCTGGCCTGATGCCCCTCCCGGACACGGGCACCGGGCTAGATTGGTCCCACCTCGTGGACGCTGCTCGCGCGTTTGAAGGTAAAGGCTCGTGGCCTCTGGGCGGGGGTGGCAGCTTGGGGACCGTGTCTGCTCTGGGGTCGTCTCAGTTGTCTCGGCTCACATTTTGGGTGCTTTCCAACCTTGGAGGATGAAAATGAGCAGGAAGGCTTGAGCTGTGACTAGGACACTCCTTAGAGAGACCGGGTCATGGAGATGGGCAGAGGATCCAAACCCAATCCCAGCTCAGGGACCAGCTGTGACCGGCGTGAGTTCCTGTTCCTCCCTCACCTCTGTTTTCTTTCCTCAAATGTGGAGGTGAATCTCTAGGGTGCAAATCATATCTTTCCTCCCAGGGAAGTGAGGTGACAGGAGGGGAGACCCTTCAGAGGTTGAAGCTCCTAGCGCGGCAGGCTGAGCGGGCCGGAGGCCGGGGGCTGGGGGCTGGGGGCTCGGTGTGGACGCAGCTTCCGGCCTCTGCCTGACCCCAGCGAGCCTTCCTGCCTGGCCCTCAGCCTCCCGCTCTGACCGCGCCTGGCCAAGAGGTAGGTGGCTGTGCCAGTTGATCCCCGAGGACCCTTCCCGCCGCTACACTGCGCCACCGCCGCTGTTGCTGTGGGGATGTTAAAAGGCTGACGTTGCTCCTTTTTCCAGATCACAAACAAAGGCAGACAAACAAGGAGCTACGCGCTTCCCGTGCAGCCCCAGGCCTCACGTGTGGGGGGAGGGGCAGCGCAGGACGCACCGGGGATGATGACTTTGCCACTTGCCACTGAATTCTTCCAGGGCCGTGGCCTCTGCCCCCGCACCGGGGTGACTAGAACAGACAGAGGAGGCGGGGTTTCCGCAGGGGCCCAGGAGAGGGCCTGTGGGAGCTCGGGCCCCATCACCTGGGACGCCCTGGCTTCAGGAAGTGAAATCAGATTCTTTCCCAGGAAAGGCAGGTGCACTTCGACCTCAGGCGGCTGCCAGGTGGAGGTTTGCTGTGTCGCCTGCCCCTCCCCCTCACCTGCTCATTGTGCGGGGCCCGCAGTGGGTTCCCGCGCAGGAGGACATTGCTGCAGAACGAACAGGCTCTGCCTGCTCGCCCAGAGGAAGGAGCCGGACTGCCTCACAGAGCGCTTCTCCCGTGCAGCCTCGGCAGTGCCCCGCCTGCTGTGCGCCCAGCCACCTTCCCGACACCCCGACGTCGGGCGTGGGTCGTGCACGCCCCTGGCCCAGGGCCCCTTCCTTCCCAGCGCCGGCGCCGGCTCAGGTGTGACCTGGCCCCAAAGGGCAGGAGTGCTGTCCCTACCTCTGTCCAGAGCGGCCCAGGCGGGAGGCAGCGGCATCTTCCCTGGCACGTTCTCAACACGCTGCGTTCCCCCGCCGCCCCCAGGAGCACACGGAGCATCTGTGCTGTCCTTTGCGGTGTCCCCACAGGTGCCTGCACTGTGCCTGCCGCACTGAATTCTGCTGTTCCCATGTCCGCCTTGTCTTGTTAGGCAGCGACTTTCTCCAGGGAAGGCAGCTTGTTTTATTTATCTTCTCTTTACTTACCAAGCACTTGGCAAGATAACAAATGAGAAGATAACAAACTAAACACATAGGGCGTCCTCAGCCTAGAGCGATCCCAGCTCAGCACAGGTTTTGACCTCTGAGGTCCTTCTGCAGTTTGTGTTCATTTTTCAGATTTAAAATAATATTGATGAGCGACCTCTGGACCCCTCCCCCCTTGTTTGTGGCTGTGCTTGGTTCCCTTCCTCCTCCTCAGAATAAAGTCTCGGCTACGGAGTGGATCTTTTCAGGGAGCTGGGGGCTGGGGGACGAGTAAGGTTGAGAAAGGAAAATGGCCCACGCAGCAGCGATTACGTGCTCATTGCCGGGATCCTGGTTATAATGGCTGCTTCCCTGCCAGGACGTGGGCCTGGGGACAAGCCAGGTGCCCTGACGAACACCCCTTGCCAACACTGAACATTCGGCAGTGATCCTCTGAGGAAGCCGCTTCCCTGCGCTGGGCCCCAAGCCTCCTCATCTGTGAAGTGAAGAGCTTTGCCCACAACCCTGCAAGGCTTCCTTCCGTCCTGTCCATCAGAGAGTACTCCTGAGCCAAAGTCAGCATGTACAGGGGAGTTGGCACCCTCAGGGAAAGGAGGAGCGAGTACCGTGTGCAGTCCCGCTGGCCTGAGGCGCCAGTGGGGGAGCTGGACAGAGAGGCTGTGGGATCCTCTTCGCCACGGCTTTGGTTGCCTGACATTCTTGAAGTTTCCAGATGACGTTTATAGAAAAACAGAGTTTATGTCATGTTTAAAAAATTCAGTAATTTCTGGGGCTACTCTGTAGGGCAGCATGGCACCTTGAGACAGTAGTCAGCTCTGGAACATTCCATTGAGAATTGGCAGCTGCAGACCTTTGGCTGATTGGGTGTCCTGTGCCGGGGCACTGTGACGAGCTGGCGTGGCGGTGGCTGGGTGTGAGCAGTCACCTCAGCCTCCCGAGAGAAACAACCTCACCTCGGTGGCCCAGTTGCCCTTGTGTGGTGACTTGGCTTTTTTGTACCAGTTCTCAAAGCTGTACCTGAGCCAGACTGAACGTCATAAAGAGAAAAGATAGTCCAGCAGGGTACTAGCCTTATTGGAAGGTCGCTTTGTAAGGTATATAAGTATCTCATCACTACGCTGTACACCTGAAATTAATGTAGTAATGCATGTCTGCTAGAATTGAAAAATTTCTTAAAAAAAGAAAGAATCATCTAAAAAATCCCCATGAGCTTGCTAAGTTGTTACAAACTAAAATGCAGTTTAAGATGCCTTATTGCACTCGGACCCTCTGGAAAAACGCCACACCCATACTTGGACACAACTACTCAGCACAGCTGAAAACGGCTTTGAAGTACAGACCCTGTCTGCCTCCTGACGTGAGAGGATGGTCCCCAAAAAGCCCAGCTATGCAGTTTACCTCCGCAGACGTGCCTCTGCCCCTGACCAGCCCCACGTGGGCCACACGCTTCAGCTTGCGATGTATACACCTGCGTCTAAGAGCTAAAATTGACCCTGGACAGGTGAGGCGAGGAGTATAGATTCTACTGCTCCATTCAAGAACAGCGCGGGACACCCAGCTTACCTGCTCCAAGGACAGTCGCTGGCGCCTGCAGTGTCCTTGGAGGTAAGAGTCCCCGGCCACCTGCGCATGGGCGTTCGGTGCAACCCCTCGGGGGGGAGCGGTTCTGTACCGCACAAGGCAGCAGAAGTAGAGTTAGATGAGAAGCGTAAAATTTGGAAACTGTTAAATATAACTGTAATAATAATTGGGCTAGGAAGAATTCAGGAACATAAGACCAATTTTTTGGTGAGTGATGATGAAAAAGATCCTACATATTAAAATCTTTGGACTGCAGCCAAAGAGTGGTCCTTAAACATGTATTGTTTCAGAAACACTTAACTGTACTTTAAAAAGATCATGCGAAAGCTGTGAATGAAAACAACATAGAAAAGAAATCAAATCATTGTTTTAAAACTGGCAAATGAAATTTTAGTGTGATTTATAAATAAGAAAATCAAGGATCAGGTTTTTTTGACTGTTAATAAGCCAATGGAAAGTTGGTCAAAAAATGAAAAGTACAAGGGAACAATATTAGAAATGAGAAAGTATATTAGTATCAAGTCATACATAAGAGAGATTAAAAATTAAGGAATGTCAAGCATCCATTTAGGAATAAATCTGTTAAGATAATTGGATGATTCTTGCAAGAGATGGGGGAGGGAACATAGAAAAAGTCAAAGGCCAAGTGTGGAGGCCATTGAGAAAGTTATCCAAGAATATCCCTAAATCCCTCATGTCACCTGAAACTGAGTGTACAATTCATTGTTTTCAAAGTTTCAAAGAAGAATGATGCCCTTGTATAATTTTTTCTTTAAAATTCAGAAACAGTCTCACATAATAGGATTCTTTTCTGATAACATTCACACAAAAAATAATAAGAGTCTTGGTCATTAATATTGATGTGAGAAAGCTTGAATGAAATTCAGTAATACATTAAAAAGATTATTCATTGTTGGGAAGAGTTTAGTTTAATAAAAGAAAAACTTCTAATTATGTTACAGTAGATGAAGTAATTAAAAGTTACATCAATTTTGTAAAAAGGGTGTATCTAATATAATTAGACCTTATTTCTAATAAAAATTAAGGTTTGAGAGATACCTTTAAAGCTTAACAAAGGAAATCTCTGTACCAAATAGTTGTACAATAATTAATAGGAAAGTGCTTATAAACATGTCCCTTTAATCCAGAGACCAAGCAAGGTTGGCATTCGAGACCATGTCCTTTAAGTGTGTACTGGAATCCTTGACATTTAAACAAACAATGCAAAGAAAAAAGGAATACGTTTTGCAGGTAAATAAATATTATGGATATGCTTCTATATCTAGAAAGTAGGAAAGATCAAAAGGAAATTATTAGAAACTATAAAGTATCTAGGTGAGGTAGTTTAATTTTGTTAGCATCATTTCAAGGCATGGTTCATTTTTTTTCATTCATTTCTGTATCACAAAGCCGCCCCAAAACGATGGCTGAAATCAACAGGGTGGGAAATCCTGTGACCCCGGGCGGTGGGCTCCCCCGGGCGGGTCTGTGCCCTGTGGTGTCAGCTGTCGCGCTCGCGGCCGTGTCCAGCTGGCACTCAGCTGAGGCGCAGCCCGAGGTCAGCAGCCTCGCTGAGACGTCAGTGTCTGGTCAGCGGGGCCTGGCTGGACTCCTGTCTCCAGGAGGTGATCCTACATCTTCACATGCAGCCGTAGGAATCGGGAGCAAAAGCAGAAGCTACAGCAGTTCTCAAGATGTAACTTGAATGTCCTACCCACTGCATATTTTTGGAGATAGCAGGTCTCAAGGCCAGCGGATCCCAGTGGTGGCACATGCCTGCAGCCATCTCTCCAGACGGTCTTCCACTACAGCCATGATAAAGGACACCTTAGATACACCAGCGAGATCACATGATGAAGTCTTTGGGAATTAAGCCATCATTAGGATGAGAAAAAGCAAAGGACACGTCAATAACTGAAAAGTTTTAATGTGTATAAAGATAAGAATGGCCAGAAAGCTTATAGTAAAGATGGCAGTCCTTCCTGAATTAATTCGTATACTTGTGTGATTTCAGTTCAGAGATCCTTAAATGGCATCCATTTGGAAAATAGATGAACAATGTTGAACAAGCAACTCTAATCAGTAATTAAAACAGCATAATAATGACTCAAAAATATAAATGAGTCTTTAAAGAAAAATAAAGAACCCAGGCTGAAGTCTGAATATACTTAAGAATTCAAGGGGAATGCAAGTTGTGTACTCTGTTTGAATTTAGGAATTAGAAAAGTCAATTCTAGAAAAAGTAAAGAAAGGAAGATTACCATTTTCGGAGCATGGAGATGCTTTAATTTTTGAGTCACGAGAAAATGCAAAACATTATATGGGCAAATGAAAGTATTTAAATATGTAGATCCTTTATGGACCTGAAAGAGAACATTAAAATAAAAATGGGGAATATTGAGAAGGATTTGTAATAAATGTGGTAGATAAAACTAGGATATCTCAAGCAAAAAGCACCAAACCCCCGACGAACAAATGGCCAAGGCATGTGGGTGTACCGTCCACAAAAGAGGAATTACAACCAAAAGCCAGTCCTTGAAAAACGTCCACCCACACACGTAAAGTTTAACGATAATGAGCTACCAACTCACACCTTTCAAATATGAAAAATGATTCAACAGCTCTGGGAAGCTGGTATCATTATAAAGATTATAAAATGATTCATCTTTTTGTTCAAGCAATATGGTAATATGTAGCTCTAGCCAAAAAATGTACCCACCCTTTGACCAGAAATCCAATTCCTGAAAACCTGCTTCCTGGAAATTATGCAAAAGTAGGGGAAAAATAAAAAAAGAGTTTCCAATGGCGAAATACTATAGAACATTATTACAATTTAATTAAAAAGTGAACAAATAGATAACCAAACTCAACCCAAGAAACTAATGTCAAAAGGTTGAGAACGCCTTCGAGGCCTGTCGGGGGGAAGGTGAGTGGAGCACTCTCCTGCCCGGCTAGAGCCCCCTGCTCCCAGGGCCCGTGAGACGGGACACCTGGTGGGGTCACGGTTCAGGCCTGTTTCAGCGTGTGCACGTCTTTTGTTTGGTGGAGGTGAGATGTGACCCTTTGCACATCAGAACGCCTAAAAAAAATTGATGACCTGTGTACTATGATACCGTTATCACTTTGCCACCTGCACAGAGCTCCTTACTGTTTTCTCTCATTAGGTAGACTGATGTAAAGTGCAAGTGTTCTGAGTAATACACGTCCAAGGTCCCTCTCTCGAACATGGTCGCGGGAACACACCCAGCCCCCAGAGCAGGCTCTGGGGCCCACCGGGACTCAGCGGAGGGAAGTAGAGTTGCTTGAAAAGTTGTCTAGGACTGAAAGTCGTTCTCACGTAGCAAACTACCAGACGTGGGCAGCCGGTGTGTTCTCGGGCACTCGTCGAAGGACTGATCTGTTTTGAATGGAAACAGGCTTCCGAGGTGAAATCACAGACAGGCGATTGGAGACTGGATTTCGGGGCTCACAGGGAGCCTGCCCTCCCCTCTGATGTCAGCTCTTCGTCCCTGGTGGTGGCAGTGCCACCTTGCATAGGCGTGTGGGTGTGCGTGTACACCAGGCTCAGGTGGAGTTAACAACGTGCTTCTCAGGCCCTGCAGTGGGACTGAAATAGTCCTCATAAGTGTATTTTCTGAAAAAAACAGACATTTATACTTTTAACTTAACTATGTTCTACACCCCCTTGGTTTCTTAGAGCATAATCGTAAATTTTTATGAGAACGTTTTCAGTTCTGAGGCTTCAACTTAAAGCTGATAAAGTTGTTGCAGTTGCTGATGTTTAGCTACAGATAAAGTTACTGTGTGAGTGCGTGTGTTGTGTGTACACAAGCATAAGAATGTGACATCGTGTGTAACTCCTAAGGTAAAAATAATTAGTTAAACAAAAAAAAAAATGAGGCGGCTACTTAGATGGAAAATGCAAAGTTAATATAGTAAATTGACTTAACTTATCTCAAATGAGAAAGTTATTTTAAGTCAAGAACAATGGTTATATGTTGAAGAACAACTCCAGAGCTTGCTTGCTTTCTCTCTCAGAGGCGGATTCTAGACCGCTGTCTTTCTCCGTTCCTCAGTGGGCTGCAGGAGGTCGAAGCCAAAGTGGTGTATGTTAAAAGCGCAGTGTAACCTTTATTTTTCTTTCCTGGCAGCAATTTAAGTCAGTTTTCTACAACTTGATAAGCACAATTGTTAGAATCAGAACCTTTAATTTCCTAACGGTGGTTAAAAGGCCCAGCTTTTCTTTAATGTGTGGGTGTGGCAAAGACCTACCAGAACAGCTTTCTTTGTGGACATGGGGTCAGTTTAACGGAGCCTCGGGCTGGCAGGTCTCGCACGGCCCACCGGCTGTCCCCCGGTGCCACGCCCTGGGCAGACGCACCTCGGGTTCAGCACAATCGCGCCGCAGGCCCCGGGCCGGCCTGGCAGCCGGCGGGCCCTCTGCCAGCGCCCTGCAGCCTAGCTGGAGTGCTGGGGACGATGTACAGGCAGCTGCTTTGCCATCTCAGCTCTAGATTGTTATGAAATTGCCTGTTGACTGTTTTTTTCTTTTTAGTGCTCAGTACACTCAAATAAGAAACTGCCATTAAACCGGGTTTTGTTTTGTTTTTTTTTTTAAACTATTTAAAGGGACTGATTGTTTCCTGTGTAAGCCATGCCTGCTGTCCCCGCTTAGCGAGACGGACTTGCGCAGGACCGAGCGGGAATGTGCTTCCCCGCGGAGTGTGGGTGGCTGTCACCTTGCTGTGCTGACTGTTTACGTGACATGCTTATGCCCACGCCTCTCTCCTCTTACAATTTCGTGTGTGCCATTTGGTTCCCTGTCAGTAATTACCTAGTTACTGAATATTTATCATCGCAGAAATAAGCTGTGCAGGAACAGAGCTTCCGCTGGAAACTGTCAGTAAGATTAGCCGTTTGACAGAGCCGTTCCGTGCCTGTTCCTAATCAAGTCACATTCTGTTTGCATTTGAACCTCCCCGGCTTTTCAGATCCGCCGTGAAATCCTCTTTGTGAAATTACATTGCTGACAGAACTCTATTTCTGGCTTCTTGCCTCCTGACCCCAGGACCTTGTTTCTCCCCAAGGAATGTTTGAATGACTGCCGGTAGCAGGTTCTGTGGCTGTCAAATATGTGGGCGTTCTGTACAGGAAGGTAAAAATATAGATGCAGTAAGCAAAGGCGTTTTTATTCAGATGTTTATACTGGACCATCAGATGAATCCATTAGAAAGGTAGAAGCTAAGTGAATTATCACTGGGTTGCATAAGATATGAATGAGGCAACGGAACTCTTTTTAAAAGTGAGAAAACTCTTCTATCTTCTTTTGACATTTTCCCCCCGGTAGTTAAATTCCCTGTGGAATAAGAATACATCTGCCGGTGATTTCTTTTTAAGTGTGAGGTGTCCCTTATTTGGGGCCACGGCACAGCAGAGGGTCACCGTGGGCGCTGTGGCAGCCCACCCCTGCTCCGCCCTCCCCGGGGCTGCTCGCTCCGGCCGGGACGCCCTTCACTCCTGCCCCCACCTCTGCTGTCACATCCTGTCCCGCGTGGAAGTAGACAGTGACCGAATTATGCTCTTCATCTTCATTCAATTACAAATTATTTCACCAGATGCAAAAACCAAACTGGGAATAGGGTTGTCTCAGGATGTCTAGTTACAGAATGTTTGTCACCTTGTAGAAGACAGGGAAGATGGAGGACGTCAGAACGCTCTACAGAAGTGTTAGCTGAAGGACAGCTGCGTAGCTGTCACAGGTGACATAGGAGCGCAGGACACGCCCTGCGATCCGTCACTCCAGGCGCCCTCGGCGCAGCCCCCAGGGCCTGGCCTCTGCCGGGCGCTTCCAGCCGGTGGCTGTTGCGGCCCCGGTTCCCTCCCCTCCTGGCAGCCTCTGCCACCGCCATCCTCCCCAATTAACGGGAAGTGCATGACCCTCCGTGAACCAGACGGGCAGGTATCCTCATTAGAAGGCGCGCCCAGCAGCCAGAGGGAGACGGTGGGATAAATTAAGAACAGAGTCCCCCCGCCCCCGCCACCGTCAGGAATCCCATGCAGCTCCTCAGCCATTAATCAAATCATGTGAAAAAGAGACGGCCGTGTTAGTCCACCTGCTCTGGCCCTCGGAGTCCAACCGCAGAAGCACACGCCTGCTCAGGCACAAGGGCCAGAGGCCGGGGAACGGGGGCATGGACACTTAACTAGTCCCCGCTCCCACGTCTGCCTTGGTCGGACACGGGTGTGTTTCTGCGTGCCGGTCAGCACCTCTGGGCCAGTGTCAAGCCCCCAGAGCTAGGCCAGCATGGCGCCAGTTTAGAAGAATATTTATTCCCTTCCCTGCCTAGTGCTTGTGTCATTGACTGAAGTTACTGGTGCCAAGAACAGGCGTGGCTCTGCGCTCAGACGAAGCACAGCAGTCATGTTGGCCGTTGGTGCTGCTGGGCCCCTCCGACTTCCTCTGCGGGTTTCCATGACATTATGTAGCTAATCGAGCGCCACCACTCTCTACATTCATGGCGTGGGTTATTTAGGCAAACCCACAGCGGTCACGCAGTCTTACTGTTGGATTTGCAAGTGGGTAGCACGCCCGTCGTCTCTGCTGTAGCCGACAGCATGCACCCAGCCAGGGCCGTTACAGGCGAAATGCATGATCTAACCATACTGCTTGGCATTGCATAATATGGGCTCTGCTACTCCGGGCGTGGCAGAACATGTGCGCACACATCCGTACAAGTGCCCACGAGCTGGAGTTCACAGGACCCCATTCCCTGAGCCTTACGTGGGCCCCAGAGGCTTTTGGGTGCACGGAGACATCGCTGTTCATAGGAGAATTCTAAATCTTATTCCAGGTCTTGACTCAGATGAAGAACTTGGTCTGCTCTATCACCACGCGTCCTATCTAGGTGATTGTCTGGGCTGATGGCGGGCGCTCGGTAGTCTGTAACCTTTTCTTTCTATTTCCTGTGTCTGCACGTCTGCATGGTGACTTGCGCTCGGAGGGCTGGGTGTGCCCAGGGGAGGTGTGTCCCGGCCGTTGTGTCCTGAGGACGCTCCCTGGGCTTGGGGGGCTGGAGGAGAGATCGTCTCCGTGGCCCTGTTAATCAGCCAAGGCGTCATCAAACACCCTTAGTCCACGCACCACCGGCCGCTCTGGCGTTTGTCGGGATGTGGAAGGAAGAAAGCACGTCGGCTGCAGCCCAGAGGGACAGCCGAGGAAGCGCTTTCTGGTTGTCAGCAGCTTGCCTGAGTTTTTTCTCTTTGTCTTGTTAGCTGATTTGGGGGTAAGGGGAGGTTTTATTGAGTTATAAGTTCATTTCCGCAATGAACTGTGATGTTGCCTTGGAGCTGTCCCTAAACCTCCCTTCTGTGTGTCTCCCCCCTCCCCAGACCAGAGAGTGGCGTCCTTCTGCACCCTGACGGACCTGCAGCACGCACAGGGCTTGGAAGGGGCCCAGGAGCTGCCGTTGTGCGTCGATCCCAGCGGCGGCAAAGACTTCATGGACACAGCTGGGTACGTGAGCCCTCTGGGTCCCCTGCCTTCTGCTGTGCTGAGCCCCCGTGACTCACAGGGATCAGCTAACCACAGGCCGCCAGGAGACTTCGGCCACGTGGGGCTTCCCTGGTCCCTTAGAACCCAGAGCGGGGTCAGGGTGGGGCAGCCCTGCTCTGCTCCGTGGGGAGGGCCTGCCCGCCGAGGTGTGCAGGTTATGCTCGCGGCACGCGGCTTCCCTACAGGGAGGGAGGATGTGGGCCTGGGGTCCACATCTGCTGCCAGTCACTGTGACAGCACCAGACGGGGACCCCCTGCACCCTCCGGGTGAGCGTGCTCGTCGGCCCAGGACACACTTCCTCCCAGAGCCCAGATGCAGCCTCCTACCTTCCACTGCGTGTGTCAAGAATGAGCCATGGCGTCCCATGTTCTTGACGTGTTTATCAAGCCCACCTTCTATATTTTCTTCACCTGTATCATTCATTCCTAATTCCAGCTTTTACGTGAGCTTGAGTGACTATTAACTTGTACATTCACTTTGGTAATGACAAAGGCAGGCAGATTGGGGAGATTTAATCTGTATTTGGTTCCCAGAACTTCATTCAGGTCTGAATAGTCTCCACCATGTCTGTTGAGATAATCTATCTTTTGTTTTCTTACCAACGCATATGCCTAGAGAGATTCAGAAACCCAATTAAATCAATAGAGATCGGGGTGGGGGGAGATTTTCCAGCAAAGCAGCAATATGCCCGCTCTCCAAAATGATGGAATATTATTTATCTTCTTGCTGGGCTCTCAGCACATAAAATGGTTTTAGAGTAAATATATATGAACAGAAATGCTGAGTGAAATGTCTTGACTTTCGTGCCCTGGAATCTCTCGAATCCTGTTCTGATTTGCAGGGAGCGGCCCCCATCCACACTGACGGGCAAAGTCAATCAGCTGGAGCTGATTCTTCGGCAGCTGCAGACCGACCTGCGGAAGGTAAATCTGTTCGAAGTCCGCAATCAGAGCTCCTCCTCTTACACCACCAATGCCGTGTGCCTGTTAGAAATAAAAATAAAGTAGCTTCCCTCGTCCAAAGCCATCAACAAACAGAAACGGGGACAGCTAGGTCTCCGTCGGTTGTCCAGGCTGCAGCTGATCTGTCCAATGACAGGGACACAAGGACTAACCGAGGGGAGCCCTCTGGGTGGCCAGACTTCCAAGCGAGGCACGCACGCGGCAGGCTGGCCAGTTTCGGCTCAGGGAGTGGTCACTCGCACCCACTGGTGTGCGCTGACCCAAGGGCAGCTCCTTGTGGCAGGAAGCCCGGCTCCCCAGGCTGCCGAGTCCGCCGAGGCCCCTCACCGCCTCCGCAGCCCTGCCACGCGCGCCAGCTGTGCGCGCCAGGCCGCAGAAGTGAGCCGAGCCCACGGCCATCTGCTGAGCCGGCCCGGCCCTGCAGGTGGAGTGGCCGGCGGCGGCAGCTGGAGGGCATGGCGGGTGGAGAGCTGTCAGGAAGGGTTTCCTCAGTGCGGTCCTGCTGTTTGTTAAAAAGGAGAAATGGCAGCGGGCATGAATGCTGATGGAGAAGGTCTGGCTGGGCAAGAGGCAGCCGTGGGCGAGGATGCAGTGGGAGGAGAGGGCCCTGATCCAGGGCAGAGCCACAGGGATCAGGGGAGGGACAGTTCCTACTCAGAGCAGAGCGTGTGGGTGTGCGTGCGTGTGCAGCCGTGCTTACGCACCCACACCCACGCAGCCCAGACAGAGGTAGGCTGACGGAGTCCACTGGCCGTTGGTTTTTTCCGGCCCGAGCTCAGCAGGGGGAAGGGATGTGTAGGGATGGAGGACGAGGTGTTGACAGAGGCTACGAGGACCGAGAGTATTTGGTGGTTTGCTCAGCAAGGCCGCAGGTGCATTGGAACGTGCAGCCTGCGTTGCTGGCGTCCTCCGGCAGAGTCCCCTGTATGTCTCTGGCCTGGACGGTGGCCGTGTCGGTCGGCCTGGTAGGAAGGGGAGGTTTCCCAGGACGCAGACCTCCCAGAGCTGGTACTGGGACAGCCCCTGGCACGGCCGGCCACCGTCTCCAGCCGTGGGTGTGCGTTGGCTGGAGAGTAGAAGTTCACCAACTTTAGAGCTTAGACAAGAAATTAAAGCAAGGAGCGGGAGACGAGGACCCTGGGGGAGCGCAGGGTGGGAGTAAACCGAGGGAGCCGGAGCCCGAGCGAGGGGCGGAGGACGCCGCTCACGCGGGTGGAGTGCGAGTTAGGTGAGGTTGGTGGGTTGGACAGGGATGGGGCTTTGGAGGAGCGAGCGCCGAGCTGGTGGTCAGGCAGCGGGGGCTTGAAGCACTTAGCGGGGTGAGCGGTCGTCGCGCGGGAGGGCGGGGTTCCAGATCGGAGAGAGGGGGCGATGGGGAGACCGAATGCAGCTTTGCAATCACCAGCAAACACAACAGGGGGTAGGAGGAGCGTGTTCTAGAATCTGCTGTTAAGGACGGGAGACACATCCTTTGTGGTGAGCCAGTGTGGCGGGTGTTGATAACCTGGTTCTCGGAGGAGCAGAGAGTCTTGGGAGGAGCAGTAACCTGCACGGGGCAGCCAGGGCCGAGTGGCGTCCCCGCTCGACCTCCAGGCCTGTGCCCCGCAGGGCAACAAACAGCAGGGGAGTGTCCTCGGAGAACAGGGCTCACTTACAGCCTGAAGACGAACGGAATTTCGGGACACGGGTTGACGTTTAGAAGGTCTCGGTGATAGAATACAAGTCCCAGGAGTCACACCAAAGGGGCCTGGGGGTCTCAGAGAGAGGGCTGGGCCGCCAAGTCACAGCAGGGACGCAGGGACATTCTGAGTTGTCTTGGGAAGGAGGGTCCCCGCGATGGGGGACGACAGGTGCTTGCTCAGCTCTTGCAGGGACTGAGAAAGTGAGGACGTGGGGGACCAAGATCGGTCCTCAGGGGGGATCAGATCCAGCTGAAGCCTCCCCTCCCGGCCGGGGTCTTCTAGCGGAGTGCTGAGGCGGGCGGTACAGGGAGGCGGGGCCGGGGGACAGGGGGCAAGGACAGCGTCACACCTGCCGAGGGTGCAGAGTGCCCCGCAGAGGCCGCTGCTCCCCCACAGCACCATCTGTACAGGCCACGATGGTGTCCGCTGATAGGGCGGTCGGGTTAGATCCCATTAAAAATGCCTGTGGTTACAATCTGACAGCGCCTTTCTCTCTTTTGGGAGCTCCCTCCCTCTCAGCCTTTGACATCCCTCTCAGCCTTTGAGAACTGAAACTTGCATTGTACATTTTTTGTCACTGTATTTTGGAAACTCCAGATGTGGTTCTTCTGAAAAATCTCCATTATTTCACATAGTTTCTGATAGCCACCTTTGAGGTCATTGTGGAAGTGTACGGAACAGGGAAGCTTTAAGGTACCATGAAAGGCCCAAGCGCTTACTTGGTTACAGACGTGCCCAAGGCTCAGCAGCTGCATTCACACCAGCTTTGGTGCGGTAAGGAAGTCCCGTGAGAGCAGTGTGTTGGTCCAGCGATGCTGCTTTCAACCTCCCGCCAGCCCCCGTCTCAGATGGAGGGCAATTTACACTGTGATCGGTCACCTTCCGGCATAACAGCCGCCCTGACTTCCGTCGGGAGCCAAGTGGGGTGAGCGGAAGGATGGTGCCAGCTTGTTCCCCAACCCCTTGGTTTGGGCGCAGAAGCAGGAAGGGGAGAGGACAGCAGCGCCGCAGCTCGGGAGCGAGCGCGGCCGCGCGGGTGACGCGTCTGTTTCTGCCCCCCAGGAGAAGCAGGACAAGGCGGTGCTGCAGGCGGAGGTGCAGCACCTGCGCCAGGACAACAGGAGGCTGCAGGAGGAGTCGCAGACGGCCACCGCCCAGCTGCGCAAGTTCACGGAGTGGTTCTTCAACACCATCGACAAGAAGTCCTAGCCAGGCCCCCCCATCGCGGGGCCCCGGGGAGGAGGCTGCCGTGGGGCTTCCGCCGGGCGCGGGGTCTGGGCTGCCCCGCTCTGTGCAGCACCGCGCCCCCCATGCTCCCGCGGGGGCATCGTGCGGGCGGAGGGCGCGCCAGCGTGAAGATGAATGTAACTCCCGTGTCGAGATGAATGTAACCCTGGTGTCCGTTTAGACCTTTCCTTGTAGATGCTACTAAACCATGTCCGGCGTGAAGGGTTTTACTTCCTATATATCAGGTGACCTGGTAGAGATGTTAAAGCAATTTACCATAGTTTGGGCTGTAGTATTGTAAAATAAACACGAAAACAAATAATCAGACATATACTTTAATGTAAAGGTGCTCTATTTTTTTGGATGTACAGTAGTTTTATCTCCACAGCCACATTATCATAGCAATAAGAAAGAGGCGTAGTCAAGAGTCAGAAAAGCCGTGTCGGGCACAATAAAGCACTGATGTGTTTAACTCTAGTTCGAATGCAGTTACTTTAGAGGCTTATTTATTTGCAGAAGCAAACGGTGCCTGAATATTAACAGTGTTCTGATTTAAAAAAAAAAAACAAGAGATACTTATGCCTTGTAAATGGCGCACTCGGTAGTCACTTCAGTCTTAGTTCACTTTTGTATAGTTAACGCTCTGCTGGAGGGAAGGGGAGACCTGCCCACTTGCTAGAACTCTCCTGCGTGCTGTGAGCCCGCAGGCCACGTGTACAACACCAAATGACCTTTGTACAGAGGCTTTGATGAAGTGTCCTGTATTTAACACCCTTATTTAAGCTTATTTAACCTTAAACTGTTAATTTTATAAACGTGATGTGACCTGCACTATGACGAGAGAGGTGCGGGAAGCCGCGCGCGGAGGAGGCTGCTCGGCCGGAGGCCCGAGGCGCAGGCGAGGATGCCTTTGTAACACCGATGCTGCTAGAGACGGGGTCTTTGTATTGCTTTACCATTTTTAACTGTTCTTTTTGAACTGAACGTACATTTTGCTTTTTTAATAAATGTTTAAAAGAGTCCACATAAATAATGATGTGGCCGGGTGAATGTAGGTTTTTATGATCTAATGTGTCAACAGTCTGGCGTTTGTGAATTTATTTTGGGTCATTTAGGATCGTTACTGATACTGCGTCACCGCCATACGCAGCCTCAAACTGACTTAAAGAGTAACTGATACTAAGTAGCTCCCACGTGGCAGACAGGGTTCGCTGAACTTTCCGTCCATCTCATTGAATCCTAATACTATCCTTACTGGATAATGGTGGGGATCCCATTTCACAGCTTGGTAAACTGAGGCCCAAGGTAAGTGATGTACTAAAAACGCCTTCTGTTTTAAAAATTAGAATCTTATTCAACAAAGAATTTGGTATTACTTTCAAGAAAATACATGCAAAAAAATTGTAGGAATTTGAAAAACCACCAGGAAGGCGTAAACCGTACCTTTAAATCAAATGTAAGGCAGAAAAAAGGCAGGTACCGCGCGGGCCATAGCGGGAAGGGAGCCATGATCAGGGTGGAGTTCTCAGTGTCCTGAGAGCCGGAGCCCATCCAGAATTCGGAGGAAGCAAGGTGGTTCCTGAGTTTGCCCTGAAAGGGGTCCCTCCCGTGGGCTTCGCACAAGAGGGGACTGAAAAATACCCGAGTCCCCCTGGGGGTGCAGCGTGAGCCTTCGTGAGGCTGCTCAGAAAGAGGCAGGGGCGCCCCAAAGTGCTGTCAGCGGTGTGGTTCCCCAGGGAGTCGGGGCGGACGGCCCGGTGGCACTTGCCCTCCCCTCCCTCTCCTTCCCGTGGCCACGGCGTGCCAGGCCCTGCCCTCGGAGCCGGAGAGCCAGCGGTGACAAAGACCAGCCGGGCCCACCGTCCAACGTGGGGACACAGACATAAGGACATTTCGGTATGTGAAAGGCAAGAATGAAAAGGGGCCTGGCGCGGGCTCCGTTAACCAGGCGCAGCGCGGCGACACTGCGTAGTCACTGTGTGCCGGGGGCTGTCCGAGGCTGCCGCCCTCCCTGAGCAGCCCAGGGGGCCAGCGGCTGTGCGCGTGCCCCCCGAGGACGAGGGACTGAGGCCGTCAGTGCCTGGGGGAGACCTCTGCTGCAGAGACTTGCTGCAGGGAAAGAGCAGGCCCCGGCGGGCAGGGGGAGGGTGTTCCGGGGAGAAGCACCCGGGGTCGGAGGCTGAAGAAGGACAGGCTGCCTAGGGGTGGGGAACGAGCTGGGAGAGACAGGCGAAGGCCAGCGCGTGAAAGACGTGCAGGCCGCGGTGCCGTCTGCTTGCCATCCCAAGTGGGCAGGGAGCCGCTGAAACGGGCACGGCGTGCTAGGACCCGTGTGTGAAAAGGGTGGTTCTGCCTTCTAAAGGAGAGGGGCCGGTGAGGACAGGCGGCTGCAAGCGTCTCTGCACAGGGCCTAGTACCCGTTTTGGGAGTCGCATGCTGTCTCTTGCATATTTTTAAATTCTGATTTACGACCTGCGAAGCTGGAAGAGCCGTTGGCTTGCAGGCCACCTGCCACATCGTGGAGCAACCTCTGATGCAAAAGCGGAAGAGGAAGACCGCCCAGGTGAGAGGCGGCGGATGGCCATGAGGCGAAGACAACGGAGGGAACGGGGCGGATCACACCTAAAACTTATTTGTCACCCTGGCCGCTGTGGCTCACTTGGTTGGAGCACCGTCCTGTGCGCCAAAGGCTGCGGGTTTGGTTTCCCATCAGGGCACATACCTAGGTTGCTGGTCCAGTCCCTGCTTGGAGCACACACGGGAGGCAACCAGTCAATGTTTCTCACATAGATGTTCCCCTCTCTCTCCCCACCCCCTTCTCCCTCTCCCTCTTTCCCATCCCCCGACGTCCCCCCGCCCCAGCGCTCTCTGAAATCAAGAAGAACACGTCCTTGGGAGGATTGTTTAAAACCTCATTTGTGGGTGGAACCCACAGAACCGCTGTCGGCTTGATTCACGGAGGAGCCCTGAACTGAGACGCCCGGCTGAAGTGCATGCTCATCAGGCAGGTGTCTGTGAGTCTGGCCTTTAATGGAAGCCCAGCCACAGAGGCCACTCGTGGTCCCTGGCAAGGCCTGGGGAGCAGCTCTTGCTGGTCAGTGGTGGAGACATTTGCTTTCGGGGCGACTGAGCAGATGGGGCAGGGGGGTAGCTTAGAAAAAGTAAAGGAATCTGACCACCATGTAGCTGAATGGAGAGCCCTCTGCCTTCCTCCCTCATGCAGACAGACCTATGGGTGAAACCAGCAGGTGTTTTTGTTTTGTTTTAAGAAGAAGAAGAAATACTTCTCAGTCTGCACAAGCAAAACAATAAATCATCTCTCCAGTCCGTCTCCAAAGGGCCACACAAGAGAACACGGCCAGGTGATTCTTGCCTGGTCAGCTTTTTCTCAAATGGATGTTTCCAGCCAACACCAAGCCGTAGGAAAACGCTGCCACGCTCCCACAGTGCACGTGGCTGGGCTACCTGCCCTCCAGGCGAGCGCTGTTGGCGACAAATGTGCCCGTAACAACTGGACACGCTGACTCTGTGCAGACATGGTGCCTGCAAGCTACATACTGGAATATGTCCAGTAAAAATCATTATTTTAGAGTAATGTCAAGCAGTTTTTTCCTAACCGTCTAATGATCTATTCTGACAAAGTTAATTCATAGAGGCTTTTATCCTGCTATTTTCAGTGTCGAGGAGCATGTTTATCATTAAAACAATAACTTACATTTTGGGGGATGGCATACAATACAGTCCTGGCTTTGCTGACAACACGGTTTATCTTTGAAATGCCAGGAGTCTGATGTGCTGGCCCATTAAAATACACAATTCGAGTATATATCTTTAACAAGGAGTCTTCATCAGACTGGTGAAACCATAAACCATAGCTTCTTGCCTGTAGAACTAAAGACTTAAGAGATACCTATAAAAAAAACAGACTAGTGTTTTCGGTGGGCTCTTCACAAAGTACGAGAACTGTGGTCAGCAGCGAATTGCTCGGATGTTAAAACCACTCGCTGCTTATGTGAAATACTCACCTGAGAAACTTGGAACTCCAGTTTAAAGAGAAACACATAAAATGGAAACTGACCTACCAACAGATTCCCTCTTTACCAACACAGAAGGTATGTCCCCAAAGACAAGCTTCCCCCTGTGGCCAAGCCATCCTCCACTGTCACAGTCACCGTGGAAGTGCATCCGCGTGAACCTTTGTCGGAGACTAAGGCCACCACTGTGAGTCCCCACTCCTGGAGGTTGCTAAGCCGTCTCAGATGCTCCCAAATCAAGCCCGTGTTCTGCAGAATTTCCTAGTTGGAGTGGGAGCAGGTGGTGATTTTTACAGGCGCTTTGCTTTGTTCCGGTTGTGGATTTTGTACTTAAATGTAAAACCACTCCCTGCGTCATGGTCCGCAGTTCATGTGTGCTACTTAGCAGCAGGAAAGAAAATGGGGTTGACCGGGTCTAATTCAACACTAGGTTAGACGCAGGTAGGAGGTCGGTGTGTGTGTGTTTGCTCCACCAGAGGAAAATGGGAAAAACCTGTCAAGATCCAAGGAATGCATTCAGTTTCTGGGCTGTGGCCTCCAAATTAACCCAAAGACCAAGCTTCTTCACTTTGAAAATAGGAATTAGGCACAAAGAAAGTCTCCATGAATTTGATAAAAGGTTTAAATGAGCATCAACTGCAAAGGCAACATTCGTATATTTTAACATAGAAGATTGGGGGACTTCCAAGTTTCTTTTTAAAACGTCTTTTCAACCCTCTCCACTTCAACCTCATGTCAGGAAATGTATTGCCCCCTTAAACCCTTACATCGAAGTGCTGATACCACGATTAGTGGCTGCAGACTGAAAAACACTGGCCTCCTTCCCCTCCCTGATACAAGAGACCTGCCAGGATTTGCAGAGCAGGGCAGCTTCATCTTGCAGAAGAGCAAGTGAGAAATAATCAGCCCCTTTTGACATGCAAATGTCCTCTAGGGCTAAAATAGCTGGTTATTAGAGGACACAATTAAGGGTTAGTGTACGAGTGTCCTGGGCACCCAGAACTGGCCATCAGGTGACCGAGCGGTAGGCCCCAGTGCCGGC